CAAAAAGTATACAATAACATTTTTGATATAATAATGTTTATTGAATGCGGGGTCAAAGGGACAACTAATTAGGATTACATTCGGGGGTACATATTAAATGCAAAACCAAGGGAGGGAGAGAGAGAGGGGGGGAAGAAGAAGAAAAAGATGGTCAAGTGAATAATCTTAGAAATAGAATTGAAATTATTCTAATTAAATCCATTAGTTAAGTGATAAGGTAAACTTCATGTAACAAATTGGATGATCCTAGACAAGGGAACGTGTGGAACAGTGGAATGGAAAACTGAGGGATTAACCACCACTAGCTGGCTTGATGATAAAATAGCAAGAGGGTCTAACATGGGTTTTTGAGTTCGAGTTCGTCCAGGCACTAATAAGGGTGACCACTGAGGGGATTTACTTGGTCATTCACTTCAGAGCTTTAGGTATTAGTTGAAATACGCATAAACTGGTCTGAACACTTAGTGGTGGATCTAAAATTTCACTCGATGGGGCCAAAAAATAAACTTAAAAAAAAATTAAAACCAATCATAAATATATATATATTTTTTTATTATTACGATAAGCTTCAACAAAAAGTTATAAAAAAACAAATAAATATCTTCAAAAAACACAATTTTTGTAAAAATAAAACAATTTTTCTACTATTGTCCTTGACGAGTTTTTGTATTCTGAAAACGTTGGATAATCATCTCATCGTCAATTGTATCAAACACATCTTTCTCAGTATAGGTGACCAAACAATTATTCATCCATTGATCTCTCATTCGATTGTGTAACCGACTTTTTACAAGATTTATTATAGAAAAAGCCCTTTCGACGGTCGCATTTTTTGCAGCATGACGAAGCTGAAGCATCAACAAACGAAATCATGCAGCACATGCAGCATGATGGAGCTGAAGCATCAACGAATGAATTTGTTACTTAGTTAGTCTGTTATCAAGTTAGTTAGCAGTTAGTTAGCAGTTTGATAACTGTAATTAGTTAATCTGTTTAAGTTTGTTAAATAGTAGTTAGAAGTTTGTTAGTAGTTAGCAGTCCGTTAATCCAGCTCAGCTAAGATAAGAGTTGGCTATCAATAAACACATTGTATATAAGGGACTAAGCTACTATAACTTTGTTTTTTAATTCTGTAAAATCATTGATTCTTAAATGAAAAAGTATTTTTCTCAGAATCATTTCAGAATCAGTTTTGTCATGGTATCAGAGCTTCATTAAAGCAAATTTTTTTTCTTTTACATCCATTACACTTCTGCATTCACAATGACTACTTCAACAAATGAAGATTCCACCAGTTTTTCCAGTCCTTATTATCTGCACCCTAACGAAAATCCTGCTGTAGTTTTAGTCTCTCCAGTTCTCACTAATTACCATTCCTGGAAGCGAGCTATGAAAATGGCTCTATTGTCAAAGAACAAGCTGAAATTTGTAGATGGCACAATCAAAGCACCCTCCAGTACAGATTCTCTATTTTAAGTCTGGGAAAGATGCAATACAATGGTATTATCTTGGCTCACTCATTCACTTTCTCCATCAATTACCAATAGCATATTATGGATTGATAAAGCATATGATGTATGGACTGACCTTCATGAAAGATTTTCCCAAGGAGATATTTTCAGAATTTCAGATTTGCAAGAAGAAATCTACAGCTTTAAGCAAGGAGATAAAAATGTAAGTGATTACTTCACTGAATTAAAAATCCTTTGGGATGAATTAATGATCTTCAGACCTCTTCCATTATGCACATGTTCCACTCCTTGTTCTTGTGGAATCTTGAACACTTTTAAAACCTATCGAAACAATGACTATGTAAGAGACAGTCTTAAGGGCTTGAATGACTCTTTCACTGTTGTAAAATCACAAATCATGCTGATGGATCCTCTGCCTTCCATAAACAAGGTTTTCTCTTTAGTTGTTCAACAAGAAAGACAATTGAGTTTGGGAGGTGCCAAGGTATTCGTAAATAGATCTGATCGAGAAAGTGCTCAGTTCCCTTCAAAATCCCAGCAACAATTTCAACAGCAGAGTGTTCAGTCTTCCAAGTACCAACAAGGCAGAAAGTATACTCAATCTTCTGGTGGAGGGGATAATCGCTTTTGCACCTACTGTGGTAAGCCAAGACACACAATAGAAACATGCTATAAAAAGCATGGCTACCCACCAGGATACAAGCCTAGGAATTCTACTGCCCACAATGTAGTTGCCACAGAAGAAAACAATAACACTGAAGGTCTGCAGATACATTCTGATATGCCAAGTTCAAACCAAGAACACTCTGGTTCTACTGTTTACTTTACTCCACAACAATATCAACAACTATTGGCTCTACTACAACCAGCAAATTCTGCTCAACCTTCACATACTACCAACCAAGTTGTGTCACAACCCCATCAGCCAACATTAATCCCACATTTTTCTTCCACATCAGGTACTCATTTAGCTTTATCATGTACCTCTAAATCTCCATTATGGATAGTAGATACTGGAGCCACTGATCACATTACACACTCTTTATCATGTTTTGACACTTACAAACAAATTAAACCAATCTTAGTCACTTTACCAAATGGCTCGAAAATCACTGGCCAATATGCTGGAACAGTCTGCCTAAATAACCAACTTATTCTCACAGATGTATTATACTTGCCTGAATTTTCTTTCAACCTTATCTCTGTAACCAAACTTAAACAGATTAACTAATTACAGTTATCAAACTGCTAACTAACTGTTAACTAACTTGATAACAGACTAACTAAGTAACAGATTCATTCGTTGATGCTTCAGCTCCATCATGCTGCATGTGCTGCATGATTTCGTTCGTTGATGCTTCAGCTTCATCATGCTGCAAGAGCATTCGTAACTGGTAAAACCAATGCAAGTTTCACAAGCTTATACATCAACGGACATAAAATGTCTTTTTTAAACCGAACTAAATTCTTAGTCAAATCACAAATTCCTTATAACTCAGCAAATGCATCACAAGAATGTATATCAATAACATAAACCTCAGTCTGGTTCTCAAGTATCATCAACTCAAATGCAGAAAAATGCCAAACCTATTCTTCTCTCTCTTCTCTTTTTCCTTTGCTTCTTCTTTATTATGGTTTTTTTTCTTTCTTTCTTCATTTTGAGCAAACAACCCAGATTATATATAAAACAACTTCTTTAAATTATGAAACAACTTCAAAATTCTCTTATTCTCACCATGACCTCATTACATCAGCTTTCTATTGTAAAAATGCCCAAATTTATCCCCTCAGTTGCATACAAACCTAGTAGCTCTAATTTATTTCATTTTCACTTATAATATAACTTTTGAAAATTAACAGATCCTCTTATATAAAAATAAAAATCACAAAAAATATATAATATATATATTAGGATTAAAAACGGATTTTACAAAAGTAAAATCCAAACTTACTGTAGGAATCCTTCCGTTCTCAAAATTTCAAAATTATAAGGGACAAAATTTAAATAAATATGAAATCTAAATTCAAAAATCGTGGTCCCCACTCGTCATTTATTGAATCCGCCATTGTGGACACTTCCACCGCCCAAAAAATAAAAGGACTCGAGATTCCTCAAAATTGAAGTCAATCTCTTCTAATAATTTAGGCATTACTCACTTGTATCATTTTAAAAAAAACAAAGGCGGAAAACAAAATTCTGTAACTTTCAATATTTAAAAAAAAAAAATCTATATCTATAGATAAGTGGTCTAATTTATCTATTTATTTTAATTTATCCTTCAAGGATATTCTAAAAAAAAAAGTTATGAATACTCTATTAAATAATTTAAATTTTCAATTACAATTACATGGAAATAATTTTGTAAGTTGCCTAAAAAAATTATAATGTGTTTTCATAAGTTAGATGAGGAGTGTTAATAGCACTCGTTTTCACACTCCATTTGATATATGTACAAAGGACGTATAAATGGAAAAAGATAAAAAAAGCTTTCTAAGATAAGTTATATTTTAGATCAATAATATTAGGTTCATAATATTCTCTCATATCATCTCCAACCACATATACCAAATTGGTATAGCTTTCATACTATTTTACTATTGTATTTCTAATTTATTGCATCAAATATTATATAAAAAATAATATATTTTTCTATTAATTCTCAACAATTAATTTATTTTACTAGTTATTTTTGTATATATTAATTAAAATTGGGATAATATTTTTATTAATTAATAAAAACTTTGAAAACTATACTAATTTAATAAAATTAAGCATTTAATAAATCAAATAAACATTACATTTAATATAAAAAAAATATTACATGTAATATAAATGGCACCAAAAAAAAAAAAAAACACAAAAGTAAAATTCTATATTGATATTATATAATTATTACGAATTTATTATTATAAATATAATATGAATAATAATCAAATTAACATAAATACAAATTAAATAACAAAAATAAAGAAATAAAATATATTTTGTGGTGGATGAATGGTGTTGGCTTTTGGTGTATGGTTGGAGCAAAATTTTGACTCCATACACCAAAATGGTGTCCTCTTAGAGATGCCCTCACAACCTCCGACATGACAATTTGTTATTAGTTGACTTGTAAATAGGTAAATGGGACCCATACAAACAAACAGAACTTATTTTACAAGCTAACCAATGACAATTGGTCATGTCGGGAGTTGTGAGATAGGATTGTAAGATTGAGTTGCGGATCTAATATTACTCATTCAAGATTTTGAGAAGAAAAAAAAGTGTTCTACATAACTTCACATGTCGACTACTTTATTGCATGGTACAAGACAAATTGAGGGTAAAATAGTCTTTGTGCTTCATTATATTTGAGAAATTAACCGTCAACAACTTTCTCAATTTGACTATTAGACTCATTAGAGGGGTCTAAGTGCTACTTTTCAAAAGTTCTAGATCTCGTATTTTTATCAAATTTTCCCCAAAATAATTTAATTTGGCGCTCCTGGATCCCTCCCACACATTTTGATCACTCTCAAATTTCTCCCGCCATTTGATCTGCAAGAAGAGGGAAACTTAAAATGGACCGATTCCAGATTTAAATAGTCCCGAAAAATTTGTAGCAGTGTCCTAGAAAACATTTTCATGGGAAAAATGGCTGTGGCTTCAAGTTCTGCTTCCAACCCCAGTTGTTCTCCTTCTAAGGATGTCAAAGTAATCAAGAGAACCAAGTCCCCAGGAGTTCGCGTCGTAGGTGGAAGAATCTATGATTCTGAGAATGGAAAGACTTGTCACCAGGTTCATTTTATTTTCTCACTCCCTTATAAATTGACATTCGAATAACCCATAATAGAATTGAAAGTTTGAGGTTGGTATTTTGTTCTATGATGCTTGGGATCTGAGAAGCAGTAGTTTGAATTCAGTTTATACCAATTACCCACTATTTTCTTCGTCTGTTTTGTGAGAATTTGTGGGAAATTATAGAAGCGACGGTTTGTATCTCAGTAATTTTTTGTTTGGTAGCTCAGATATAAAATTTTGCTCTTCAAATTGTGACCAGTTCAAATATATGGGGTTTCTTTGCTTTGGTTTTCGTCTCTAGATATTATTTTCTTTTATATTCTGTTCGGTGGATAGAAAATGTAGTGAAAAAGAAAGTGTCCAGTCATTGTATTTTGATTTTTTAGAACTGAGTACAAAGAATTCTCTACTCATCTTTGATTAATTGATTTGTTGGGGCTATACAATGATCGCCATAGAGACATTAAGCTATTTTTTGCAACAATATCCATTTAATTGATTTCTCTTTAATTTTCTTTTCTCAATCACTGGGATATATAGTTATTGTTTAGGAAAGAATTGTAAATGGACCATAGTAGTTGTTTTACTGATATTTTATGTTGATCAACTGTTGAAGTGCCGGCAAAAAACAAGGGATTTTATGGCAGATTGTAAGAGTCAAAAGAGGGACAAACAATGCACAATTAAGTTCTGCCACAAATGCCTCCTAAACAGGTATGATTTAGCATTGTAATTCTTCTAGGTACTTTTTAATGGATAAGTTTAGTGGGTATTTTTTCATAAGAGTGTTTTCTTGATCTTGATGAATACTTTTTGGTGAATTTGAAATTAGATATGGAGAGAAAGCAGAAGATGTGGCACTGTTGGTTGACTGGAAATGCCCCAAGTGTAGAGACATTTGCAATTGTAGCTGCTGCATGTGAGTGCAATGGCATTGTATAATTATCTTTTTGGTTGTTGATTTGTATTGTTAGTGTTTGGCTGGGTCTAATTGGTTATGTGCTTTTAGGAAGAAAAAAGGTCAAAAACCCACTGGTCAACTGTTTTATACTGCCAAAGCAACTGGGTTTTCCTCTGTTTCCGAAATGCTACAAATTAAAGGACACGATAATTTGAATCATGAAAAGAAGATTGCTGAAGACATGGTTGTTTCGCCGAAAAAGTCTGGCACCCCAAAGAAGGTTGTTTAGTATATTACTTTTTTATAGCTTTATTATGCAGCTGAATTTCAGCTTTTCCTTTTTTGGATTGATGAAATTTATTATTTCTACATGTTTTAATGTAAATCCATGCTTTTGACAGGGGTCTGTACCTGCTTCATTACCAAATCCAGGAAAGGAAAATTCTTTTGATGGAAAGTGTGACTCTAACTTGAATTCTCTGAACAAAACCGTTTTAATGAATGAGAAAAAATCTAAGAAAATGAAACGAGAAGGATTAAAGGAAATCAGTAATAGCAATGGGGATGTTTCTTCAAAAAAGAGATCTTCAAAAAAGCCTAAGATTTCTGAGGAAATTGCTAATAAAGAAACGTCAAAAGTTTGTCAAGAAAATTCTGAGAAAAAGAAGCTTAAAGTCTCCAAGGAGATTTCTAAGATTAAGAAGCCTGAGTTTTCTGAGAAGATTTCTAAGAAAGAAATTGGGATTCTTGAGACTGATAGTGGGAAGAAGAAAACTTCAAAGACCCCTAAAATTTCTGAGNTATTACTCATTCAAGATTTTGAGAAAAAAATGTGTTATAAATAACTTCACATGTCGACTACTTTATTGCATGGTACAAGACAAATTGAGGGTAAAATAGTCTTTGTACTTCATTATATTTGAGAAATTAACCATCAACAACTTTCTCAATTTAACTATTAGACTCATTAGAGGGGTCTAAGTGCTACTTTTCAAAAGTTCTAGATCTCGTATTTTTATCAAATTTTCCCCAAAATAATTTAATTTGGCGCTCCCGGATCCCTCCCACACATTTTGATTACTCTCAAATTTCTCCCGCCATTTGATCTGCAAGAAGAGGGAAACTTAAAATGGACCGATTCCAGATTTAAATAGTCCCGAAAAATTTGTAGCAGTGTCCTAGAAAACATTTTCATGGGAAAAATGGCTGTGGCTTCAAGTTCTGCTTCCAACCCCAGTTGTTCTCCTTCTAAGGATGTCAAAGTAATCAAGAGAACCAAGTCCCCAGGAGTTCGCGTCGTAGGTGGAAGAATCTATGATTCTGAGAATGGAAAGACTTGTCACCAGGTTCATTTTATTTTCTCACTCCCTTATAAATTGACATTCGAATAACCCATAATAGAATTGAAAGTTTGAGGTTGGTATTTTGTTCTATGATGCTTGGGATCTGAGAAGCAGTAGTTTGAATTCAGTTTATACCAATTACCCACTATTTTCTTCGTCTGTTTTGTGAGAATTTGTGGGAAATTATAGAAGCGACGGTTTGTATCTCAGTAATTTTTTGTTTGGTAGCTCAGATATAAAATTTTGCTCTTCAAATTGTGACCAGTTCAAATATATGGGGTTTCTTTGCTTTGGTTTTCGTCTCTAGATATTATTTTCTTTTATATTCTGTTCGGTGGATAGAAAATGTAGTGAAAAAGAAAGTGTCCAGTCATTGTATTTTGATTTTTTAGAACTGAGTACAAAGAATTCTCTACTCATCTTTGATTAATTGATTTGTTGGGGCTATACAATGATCGCCATAGAGACATTAAGCTATTTTTTGCAACAATATCCATTTAATTGATTTCTCTTTAATTTTCTTTTCTCAATCACTGGGATATATAGTTATTGTTTAGGAAAGAATTGTAAATGGACCATAGTAGTTGTTTTACTGATATTTTATGTTGATCAACTGTTGAAGTGCCGGCAAAAAACAAGGGATTTTATGGCAGATTGTAAGAGTCAAAAGAGGGACAAACAATGCACAATTAAGTTCTGCCACAAATGCCTCCTAAACAGGTATGATTTAGCATTGTAATTCTTCTAGGTACTTTTTAATGGATAAGTTTAGTGGGTATTTTTTCATAAGAGTGTTTTCTTGATCTTGATGAATACTTTTTGGTGAATTTGAAATTAGATATGGAGAGAAAGCAGAAGATGTGGCACTGTTGGTTGACTGGAAATGCCCCAAGTGTAGAGACATTTGCAATTGTAGCTGCTGCATGTGAGTGCAATGGCATTGTATAATTATCTTTTTGGTTGTTGATTTGTATTGTTAGTGTTTGGCTGGGTCTAATTGGTTATGTGCTTTTAGGAAGAAAAAAGGTCAAAAACCCACTGGTCAACTGTTTTATACTGCCAAAGCAACTGGGTTTTCCTCTGTTTCCGAAATGCTACAAATTAAAGGACACGATAATTTGAATCATGAAAAGAAGATTGCTGAAGACATGGTTGTTTCGCCGAAAAAGTCTGGCACCCCAAAGAAGGTTGTTTAGTATATTACTTTTTTATAGCTTTATTATGCAGCTGAATTTCAGCTTTTCCTTTTTTGGATTGATGAAATTTATTATTTCTACATGTTTTAATGTAAATCCATGCTTTTGACAGGGGTCTGTACCTGCTTCATTACCAAATCCAGGAAAGGAAAATTCTTTTGATGGAAAGTGTGACTCTAACTTGAATTCTCTGAACAAAACTGTTTTAATGAATGAGAAAAAATCTAAGAAAATGAAACGAGAAGGATTAAAGGAAATCAGTAATAGCAATGGGGATGTTTCTTCAAAAAAAAGATCTTCAAAAAAGCCTAAGATTTCTGAGGAAATTGCTAGTAAAGAAACGTCAAAAGTTTGTCAGGAAAATTCTGAGAAAAAGAAGCTTAAAGTCTCCAAGGAGATTTCTAAGATTAAGAAGCCTGAGTTTTCTGAGAAGATTTCTAAGAAAGAAATTGGGATTCTTGAGACTGATAGTGGGAAGAAGAAAACTTCAAAGACCCCTAAAATTTCTGAGGAAATTGCTAAGAAAGAAAAAATTAGAGTTTCAGAGAAGATTTCTAAGATTAGAAAACCTAAGAACTCTGGAATTTTGAAAAAAGAAGTGGACAAAAATGACAGTGAAGGTGGTGGTTTTGTGAAGAAAAAGGATTGTAAGACGTCGGTTTTAAAGAATGATTCCCTGAATCTAATCCCAGAGGAAGGAAACTGTAATTCAAATCATGAGAATGTAAGAGTTCCAGGTGGTGTTGAAAATGGTAATGCTGGACCCAAGGTGAAGACAGTTTTTGATTCTCGCAACATCAAAAAGTCTGCTACAGAACTTCAGAACCAAAAATTTGCTGCTGATATTCAACTGCCCAAGGGTGCCAGCTTAACAACTGTAGCTGGAATTGAGCTAGATTCTGAAGACGTTGGCCATGCATTACAATTCTTAGAATTTTGTGCAGCTTTTGGAAAGGTATGTTTGAGTGGGGCTCTGCTTTCTTGGGAAAATAGTATCATTGTGCATGTTTTGCAATAATATTGATTGTCAAAGATAGTTCAAATTTTTATCATAAGATTGATGGTTAGCTTTTATAAGATTATCAAGGATTTATTGGCAAAAATATCTTTAACATTGTTTCATAATTTTCTTCAGAAGTCGGGACAACACAACTCGGTCTTTTCTGTTTGTTTTCCCTTCAATTTATTGTTTCATTTCTGGGAGTTCCTTCTTCTTTTTCCCTGAAACTAAAACTTTTCCTATTATTTTCATATTAACCTAGCCAGGCATCTCTAATTTGGCAATTTTTCTTTTCTCATGTTTGTTATGTTATTAGGTTCTTGGTTTGAAGAAAGGACAAGCTGAGTGTATTGTTAAAGAATTGATTTGTGGGCGAAGTAGGCGCCATGGGCAATACTTTCCAATAGTCCAAATTCATATCAAATTGTTGTCTTTGATACTAAAGGATATGGGAGAAGAGTATAAATTGTTCCCTTGAAATTTGTTTATAAACTTTATTGCTTTTGCTTGTGTGGGGTTGGGATAGTAACTGTCTGCATTGTTTACTGTTTAGGTCTCCATCGTTAAGTTCAACAAGTAGAAAAAATTCATGGTTGCAGGCTCTCAGGAAATGCGTATCTGAATCCAAATGTGTGTTGAATGATATTCCTTCTGATTGTTTCGGTGATGGTGATGATGGATATGATAAGTTAGACAATTTGAAAAAGCTCAAGCTCTTGAACTTTTTATGTGATGAAGCTCTGGGCACTAGGTAAGTAAATAAGAATGTAGTGAGAATGTGAGATTCAGTAGATATTATGAACTAAAAGCTTTTTTCTTCCATTAAAGTATAACACCAAATGCTTTGAGTTCATTTTTTATTAAATTCATTGCAGATCCCTAAGGAGTTGGATTGATGATCAAAATTCAAAATATGTTGAAAAAGCGAAAGCAACCAGAGAAAATGTTGTTGCAGCAAAGGATAAGGTGACACAAGGGCTTAGGCATGCTTATTTTGGCTGAAGGAGTGCTGATATTGCAGTGATAGTGGTATAATTAACTTTTTTTTTTTTTTCTTTTTCTAATACAGGAGAAACGTTTGAAACAGAAATTGCAAGATGAGGTTGCTAAAGCAGTTATTGCTAAACATGGTGCTCCATTGTCTATTTCTGAGCATGAAGCTATTGTTTCAGAAATAAAAAGCGAAGCAGCTCAAGCACATTCGGAGATGCTGGAGGCAATGGGCATGGTACCCCAGAGTATGTTCAGGATTTCTGTAATTATTTCTTTTAGTTATCTGATACATTCTTTTTAGATCTCACTTTCTATTTACTTATTTTAACAGTAAGGACCTAAGGAGATTACATGCTTTCTTTTTGTTTTTCACTGTTTTAGTATAGGAAATTGAACAACCTTCTGATTTTGTAAAATATGCTAATATGTGATGGGGAAATTTTCAGAATATCATTCTAAAAGACACGATTTCCGCTTTCAAACTGTGAGAAGAAAGAATTGGTCAGGATATCAATTAAATTGGAGATTTCAGTATTAAAACATTATTTATTTTTAAATTCCAGTTTACGATGCATGCTTTTTTGCAGTATTTCTTATGCCATTTTGTGATAAAACTTGAAGCCAAAAACATATTGGTGGACTAAAGGAGCTTAGCCAAGTTTCTGACTTGTTTCAAATTATTGTCAACTGATGGTCGCAATCTGCATGACCAATCATAACTAAGTTTTGTGCTACCAAGGTTTTTCTGATGTATACATTATACATCTAAATATTTATGTATATAGGTGCATTAGTACATGTACATGTTTATGTAGTATTCTGACCATTGCTTACAATCACTGTAGAGAGACAAAGGTCTGATGCTGTTAGAACAGAGCCTATTTTACTGGAAGATGGCAGTTGTGCAACTCGTGCCTTTTGGAAATTGAAAGGCTACAGTGGTGAACAACATATTTTGCTTCAAGGTTAGTATAATACGTAATGGTGTTGACCAGATTTGAAAGTTATTGGTTTCTGCTTTGAGTGTATGAATTTGAAAGTTATCATTTTTCTTTTCGTTTTACTTCAATGAACAGATTTGAAGGGAGCCCTGGATGCAGTTTCACTCAATGAAAAATGGTTTACCTATGATGTTGACCAGAAACCAGAAATTGAGAAATATATCTCTTCATTAAGGTCAGTTTATTAATGGTTTATAGGCCAAAATGAAAACTGATTTGCCTTTGTTTCTTTCTTTCTCTTTTTGTCAAAACCATTGTGACACGATTTCATTAAAAGATTATACAGAAGCAGAAACCCTTTGGAAATTTATTTACACAATTAGTTGTCAACTCCCGCAAAAGTATGAGGATTTTTTATTAAGCTTACAGGACATTTTTGTACCTGCAGAATTATTGCAATAGCAATAAGCATTTAGAAAACATGTACATATCTGCAGTTAGATAAATTCATGAAGGAATTTTCTGAACATCTGATTATGATTATTATCATCCCATGGATGTTCTTTACTTGCTGATATGTTTTGCCATTTTTAATCTCCCTTTTGCTTACTTTCCAGCGCAAAAAGGCTTCGGATTCAAAAAGTTACTGACGTTGTTGACTAAGAATGGGAATGGGAATGATGAGACAAACTCATAGCATAGTTCAGTTGATTAAAACATGTCATCTTCAAAGTCCTTGATGATCAAGGCAATATATCATTATATAATGTTTAATGTTTTTTTTTTTTTTGTGATTGAGGGTGTTCGAATCAGTTTGTACGTGTCTTAACAAATCTCTCAGGCTCTAAAGGCAATATATCATCATGTAATGTTTTATGTTGTATTTTGTAAATGTACTATATTCGATGATTCAATGTTACAATTTTACATTAGAGATGTAATTGTTTTTATTTTTTATGGACCGCACTAAAATAATTAAGGATTTTTGGGTTTGATTGAAATTTCCATAGCATATAATATTGTAATTTTCAAAATTTAATTGTTATATTTTGTAAATATAAATATGTATTTCTGTGTATTTGTCGTCGTGGCGTATCTATTTCTATATCCTTTTAAAAAGGAAACGGCAATAAATTTCCTTTAATGCCCTTAAGTATTAATATCGAGATTTAGGAAACAAATTATTTAAATTAAATTAAATTTTGGCCATAAACATAGCGACACGTAATCTGAGATTTGGCGGTTGAGAGATGCGAACTGGTAAAACTGTAGCCTCTCATTCGTCTTCTTCAAAGATATTGAGAGAGCTGAAGCTCATCATCATCACTGTACAGAGAAACAAAGAGAGAAGCAATGTCGACAAAAGCACTTTCGTTAACAAGAGCAGCAACTACTTTATATTCTCATCATCATCATCAAGATCACCGCTTCGGTCTCGCCAATCATCACCGTTGCTTCCTCTCTATACATCCTCCTTCTCCACCTCCTCTTCTCACCGATAAACGACACCGTATTAAGCTCACTTTCATCTCCAGAGCTGCCGATTCAACTCAACCTTCCTCAGCTCCTGCCTCTGCCGATAAAGCAATTGTCACCGATGATGAATTCTCTCTCGCTAAGGTACGCCTTCTATGTGTGTAAAGTGTTAACTCTATTTTTTTTTTTTATAAATATAGAACTTGAAAATTATGATAAGACATGAATGAGCTGTTATTTCAATCTAAAACTTGTAATACTGAATTCGACGACTTGATTGGTAACATAGAATAGAAAACTTGAATGATAGATATCATGTTTATCAATACAGAAAACCGATATTAGAGAATGAGCTTCATAGGATTTTAGCAGTTGTTACTGTAATTTGTTAGTAATTTTTTGCAAAATATAGGGCTCTTCTACATACAGAACCAATAATTCTCTGTTCTGGAAAACGGAAATACAGAAAATCTTTTGTAAACTTACTTTCAACCGGAAGCTTTTGAATATAATCCTAAAAGATTAGTTGAAACTCAAAATATTATGGAAAGTTGTTGTTTGCTTTTTTACATAAGATATTATCTGGTTTATACTAATTATATTGTAAGTTTTTAAAAGGATTAGTTTCATTTACATCCTTTAACATTTGGGCAGTTTGATATAGATAGGTCTTTTTGCCCCAGAGGTTTGTCATAAATTATTAAAACTTTAAGTGTTGTGATAATTTTCATAATTCAGCGGAGGTTTTAGATGGATATTGTGTCTGTATCTTTGTGAGTCAAATGACATTTTGCCTCATGAAAACTATTTCCAAACTACAAACCAAATTCTCTTCGGACTATTGAGAGCTTATTACACTGAATTATCTGTTGTTTCTCAAAATTTCTGGGCTAATGTAGCACTTTGCAGGTTTCATTTGGTGTTGTTGGACTAGGTCTTGGAGTTTCTCTCCTGTCGTAAGTGTCTTATCCTCTTGGGAATACTGTTTACTCTAAATTCTATGTGGATATGATTAGTGTGTGATCTACAGGTATGGTTTTGGAGCATACTTCAATATCCTCCCTGGATCTGAATGGTCAGCAATAATGTTGACATATGGATTCCCCCTTGCGATTATCGGGATGGCTCTTAAGGTAAAATTTTCTAGGCATTTCTTCACACACCCTATCATTACTCATAGTTCCTTGAGTCGCATATGAAGTTAGAGTATGCCAGTGTTCTTGCATCATAATATCATATATGTCATAATGTTTATCAGTGAGGGTGTTCTGTTCCAGTTAGTAACATTTCCTGTCTTGGTATTTTTTTGTAGACTTTGCTCTTAATAATTAATCCATGCGTGTATAAGATTGGTTGTATCTAGTTTTTTGTTCAATGTTTAATATTGCTCAATTGAGTTTTTATATTTCAATTCTAGGCAATGATTCCAATCAATGTTTGGAGGCTCTACCAGATTTCTGATTTGTCATGAAGGTTGTATAAAACATTCCTGAATCGGTTTGGGATCTGAAATTTTTTAAAACATAGTTAACTGAATACAATTGGACCAGTATGACCCATGTCGCGTATGCTATTATTTTTTCTTTCATAAATTGATCTATGCTTCCTTTCATCTGGTCGAAACTTAGCTTGTCTCTGCTGCATTTCTTTCTAAGTTTTAAAAATTATATCTAATTTAATGAAAGACTACATCACTAAGTGTTATATTTTAATTCTTTTATCAAAGAATAGCTCTTTTGAATGTTATGCAGTATGCGGAACTCAAGCCAGTGCCGTGCTTAACTTATTCAGACGCCCAAACGTTAAGGGAAACATGTGCCACTCCTATCCTTAAGCAGGTAATTTTATCAATCTCGCTTACTTTATGAATTATTTCAGCAAATACCCCTTGTGTTCTTGTAATTTTTTATTAATTGACTATGAGGCTATATTATTCCCATCAGTGGACTTTTTCTAGTTCTATTTACCAGCTCAACAAGATCTAGTCCTTCTCTTGTATAGGTTGATATTTATATCCTTTAGAAATCTTATTTATTATGCTTGTTTGTCATGATTATCTCCTTTAGCACTTAAATTAGATGATAAAGAAATTAAGTCAGAATTTTATTTATCTGGTAAGTACAACCCCATATGTCTCAGTTTCCTGTCCTGGAAAATTTGGAGAGCTGTAATTGATGTGATGGAATTCAGTGCCTTTATTCTTAATTTTGAAAGATATTTTGACTTCACAAACACGTACGGTTAAGTTTGATCAGGTTTTTAGGGCTGACTAAAGGTTATTTCACCTGGTTGATATACCTCATTTTTTCTGTTGGTCTTTAGAAAAGCAATACTAAAGATAAGGATCTAATTAGAAACACAATTTCACAGTTCTATATGCCTGACATAAATTTGCCAAAAAGCATTTTCAAACGCAAAACTAAGCTGCAAGGGCATTAGTTGTTTTTGTCACGTTATTTGAGCTCTGTAATGTACATTGCCTGCACAGACATTAATGTTCAACTGTGTCCTTCCGTGTGTCAAAGGCTGCTCTCTTTTTTGTTCATAGTATTCCTTCATGATGCTCAAATTGAGAGGAAAGTAGGGAGGAGTGGCTGGAGGAAATTTGAGACCTGCATATTTTAAGATACAGTTTGTGGATTGAATATTCTTATCAGAATAGTCTCAATGTGTAATTATGATTTAGAAAGGATAGAAGACTATATAAAGAAACAACCTTCATATTTTCACATTGTATTCTCTCATGACCTTCTTGGCATTTGTATCTGGTAATGTGAAACCATCAAGATGTTTTGTGCTAATAATCATTCCAATCTCAAACATTCATTATGATCTTCCGGCAAAACCCTCTGTATTAGTTGGATGACTTGATTCTCCATGACCTTTGTGCCTGTGATGTTTAACTGGCATGTCCCACTGTCCATTCTCTCTCTTAAAAACATGCCTGATCATGTGCTTACTTCTATGTACTATCACTAGATTGGGCAAGCTGCATGTTCTGATCGTTTGAATGTAATTTGAGATTCTCATTATCCTCAAATTTACTTCATTATAGTTATTATGTGTGAATTGAATTAATTTTTTGATAGCTTTGATTAGGTCAGGAATGATGTTATAAGATTCCGTTATGGGGACGAGCAGCATCTTGAGGAGGCATTGAAAAGGATATTCCAGTATGGATTGGTATTTGTTTAACTCTACTTATGCTCCTTGATGTTTGTTTTCCGGATTATACATTTTGCATAGAAAACTAATCTATTTACACACACAAAAAAATTAAAAATTAAAATACGAAACTTTTATATTCAGTGACACTCGTTGACTCAGTAGTCAACTATCGAGGCTACTGTCTCTTCCTGTGTGCTTCAAGTTCCATAATCTAGTTTATACTGCTAATTCCCATTCCTGAAAGAAATAAGCGAAATAACCATCAAACCATCCTTCGTTGAATCCTGTATTCGAGAGGATCAAGTTTTAAATTTGAACAAAATTTGAAATATGGAGAGAATTGAATTGAAATTATTGAGAGAGTAATACTACTCATCCCAAAACGTATCCCAAAAATCACATTCCAAATAATGTGTCACCATATGTGGCATTGCCATGTCATTTAACACATCATTAATTTATTTACATGTCAATGCAACATATGGTAACACATCATTTCGGATGTGATGTTTGAATATGTTTTGGGATGATTAGTACTATTTGTGATAAAATATTCTATTGTAGTTTATTCAATAATCAAATAATATAATATTACGCCCTATATATATTTTTATTACCTTATATTTACACATATACCCCTAACTCTATACACATAACTTCTATCACTTCCCCTCAACCTGAAGCATATATATTTATCATGCCCAGCTTATTACAAATATATGTTACCATTTTTCCAACCGGAGATTTAGTAAAGAAATCAACTAGCTGTTCCCCTGTTTTAACATGCTTAGTGGAAATTAATTTATGTTCAAGTTTCTCTCGTACAAAATGACAATCGACTTTTATATGCTTTGTCTACTCGTGAAAAACTGGATTGTTGGCTATATGTATGGCAGCTTGGTTATCACACCACAATTCCATAATCCCTGGATCACCAATTCCAACTTCTATAAGGAGATATTTTGTCCATACAAGCTCACAAGTTACTTGTGCCATAGCTCGGTACTCAAATTCTGCACTTGATCTAGCTACAACAAGTTGTTTCTTACTTTTCTAAGAAATAAGATTCCCTCCAACAAAAACACAAAATCCAGTCACAGAACGCCTGTCTATAAAAGATCTTGCCCAATCTGCATCTAAAAATCCTTCTGTTTTACTATGGCCATGATTACTATAAACGATCCCACGTCTAGGAACCCTCTTGAGATATTTTAAAATATGAAGAACCGCATCCCAATGAGGTGTCCTAGGAGATGACATAAACTGACTTACCACACTTGCTGAGAAAGCAATATTTGGACGAGTTACTGTAAGATAATTCAACTTTCCAACTATTCGTCTGTATCGCTCTGGATCATCAAATACCTCTCCATCCTCAACATTCAATTTTATGTTAGGAACCATAGGAGTATCACAAGGCTTGGCTCTAATTAGACCTCTTTCAGTCAATAAATCTAGCACATACTTGCATTGAGACAACTACTTCGAGAAACCTCAACTCTCAGAAAATACTTTAAAGAGCCTAAGTCTTTCGTGTGAAATTTGTAAGCCAAAAAGATTTTCAAACTATGAATACCAACACTATCACTACCAGTGCTTATAATCTCATCAACATAAACAACAAGGAGGAGAATACTAGAACTAGATTGCCTATAGATTATAGAATGATCATAAGCACTTCTATGCAAACCAAATTCAGTCACTACATCACTAAATCTCCCAAACTGAGCACGTGGAGATTGTTTCAAGCCATATAAAGATTTCCTCAATTTGCATACCTTTCCAGACTCCCCCTGAGCAACAAACCCTCGTGGTTGCACCGTGTAAACCTCCTCAAGAAGATCACCATGAAGAAAGACATTCTTGACATCAAGTTGGTGAAGGGGCAATCATAGGAAACTGCAAGAGAAATAAATGACCAAACAGAGGTCATCTTAGCAATAGGAGAAAATGTCTCTGAATAATCAATACTATATGTCTGAGCATAACCCTTAGCAACCAACCGAGCTTTCAACCGGGCTATAGGCCCATCAGGATTAACCTTCACTGTGAAAACCCACTTACATCTGATGACCTTTTTGTCACTAGGTAAATCAACGAGATCACATGTACTATTGTGCTCAAGACCCAACATCTTTTCTTCCATAGCCCTTCGCCAACCATCATGAGCAACTGCTTCAAACACTGAACGGGGAACAGACACAGAATCTAAAAAGGCAACAAACAACTTGGAAGATAGAGACAATGAGTTATAAGAAACAAAAGAGGAAATAGGATAAGTACAAGAGCGCTTACCTTTACGTAGAGTAATGAGAAGATCTAGGTCAAAAGGAGGAGGAGTTGGATCTGGGGGCGAGGCAGGCAGTAAGGGCAATGTCTCAAGTGTCTCAGATGTCAATACTGGTGCTAGTGTCGGTGCCACTTGTTGTGGTGAAGGGCGGCGAGAGTATATCTAAGTGACAGGAGGACAAGACAGGGGTGGAGAACTATAGTGAGTAATGGTATAAATAAGCAAATCATTAGTGACTAGAGAAGAAGATTGAAAGGAATCATCAACATAAGTAGTTTCGAAGAATTAAACATTAGCCGAGACAATATACTTACCTAAAGTAGGAGAAAAACAATGATAACCCTTTTGATATTGTGGGTAACCCAAGAATATACACTTGAGGGATCTAGGGTCTAATTTGGAAAGATGAGGGCAAACGTCTTGAACAAAGCAAGTACACCTAAAGATTTTAGGAGCGAGGGGGAACAAAGGTTGAGAAGGAAAAAGAATGGAGTAAGGTATTTGGCCAGACAGAATAGATGAAGACATAAGATTAATTAAGTAACAAGCAGTAGAAAAAACATCTGCCCAAAACTCTTTAGAGACTTTCATATGAAAGAGAAGTGTATGAGCGACCTTTAACAAATGACGATTTTTTCATTCAACAACTCCATTTTGCTGAGGCGTATACACACAAGACGACTGATGAATAATACCCCTGGTAGACAAAAAAGAAGAGAGAGAAACAGAAAAATATTCTTTGGCATTATCACTTTGCAAATTTTGATAGATGAAACAAATTGGTTTTGTATCTCAACATAAAATGCACAAAATATAGAAAATAATTAAGAACGATTTTTCATAAAATATAGCCATGTAACACGTGAAAAATCATCTACAAAAGTAACAAAATATTTATAACCAGATTTAGATAAAACGGGACAAGGACCCCAAATGTCAGAATGTATAACATCAAAAGAAGCAATAACTCGTTTATTTTTTCTAGGACTAAAAAACACTCGATGGTGTTTCCCAAATTGACGTGCTTCACAATTAAGCTATGACATTGACTGTAAACTAGGACATAACTTCTTCAGGATTGGAAGAGGTAAACGACCATGGAAGAGAGAGGAGGACAAATCACTGGTACATGCAACATGTGGCGGCACTGGATTAGAGATGTCATCAAGCACATACAAGCCACCTAAGACACGATCCCTACCAATAATCTGCTTCATCCCAAGATCCTGAAAGATACAATGAGTAGGGAAAAAATAAACACCACAATTAAACGCAGTAGTGATTTGACTAACAGATAAAAGATTAAAGGGAAAGTGAGGAAGACACAGAACAAAGGAGAGAGACATAGATTTGGTGGGATTAGCAGTAACACAACCCATAATCGGTACAGTTGATCCATTAGCCAACGTAACAAAAGACAAATCAGAAGAAGGTGTAAATGAGGAGAGAATACCTATATCATCTATCATATGGTGCATAACACCAGAATCAATGACCCAGTTACAACTAGAAGTAGATACACAAGCTGTCGGATTACCTAGTTGAGTTAATGTAGCAGCAGTTGATGGAATGGATGATTGGGGGCTAGCAAGCTGAGTGAGGCGAGCATACTCATCTGCAGATATAGTAACCTGTGAAGGAGTAGGTAAAATACCATCTTGAGCGGCAACATGAGCATATTTTTTATTACTCGGCATAGTTAGAGGTTTTCCATGTAACTTTCAACAATTCCTTTTGACATGACCTTCAGCACCACAATGGAAGCAAGTACGAGGACTATTACCATTGCCATGAGTAGCCCCGATATCCTGACTAGCACATTTGTTGCCTTTACTACTATTAGACTTCATGCTAGCAAGAGCCGCATGATCTGGAGCAACATTCTGAAGAGTCTCCCTGTCTTTAGATGCTCCTCTATCTTCCCTTTTACTAACCCGAAGAAGACGAGCATAAACCTCCGTTAGAAAAGGAAGTTTCTCACTGGTAAGGAGTTGTGTCCGAACTATCTCATATTCTAGTCTCAACCCAGCCAGAAAACACTGCACCACTACTTGCTCTTCTTGTTCTTTCATTTGCACAACATCTGCAGTCACAAGGAATAAAGCTCGTTTTTCCTGAAAGGCTTGCTTCACCTTTGTATAGTATTCAAGTAATGTCTTCTCTTGCATATTTGCTCGATAAATCTGCAATAACAACTCATGAACATGAGATAAGTCCTGTTAACTAGCATACAGAAACTCTAGATACTCCCATAACTCTTTAACTATATCTCAATTATTAGTAACATCATCCACTGTGGAATCCAGAGTATTCTGGATCTAATTAAACAATTTATCATCCTCCATAAGCCATTTCTTTCGAATTCTCCTAACACTCTCTAATTTCTTATCACTACCCTCTGGTTGTTTATCACTCTCTGTTTGTGGAAGTGAATATGTAGGTGGATCCTCAGTCAAATGATCCTTTATGTCAATGCTAGAAACATATCTCCTAATAGTTCGTCTCCATTGAGCATAATTCTGCTTTCTTAGTAACTTCCTATTAGTAATCTTTGTAGATGAGTGGACTGAAATTTCAGTCACCACCTGTTTACCTTCCACTATCATAGCTTAATCAAATCAACAATGATTCTCTACTAAGCTCACAGACAAGATCACCTCTAATCACCGATATCCAACTAACCCAAATCACCAATTCACAACAAATTCATGACTCAAATCCAACACCACAACTAGAATAGTCATCAAATAAACATTTAAAAAAAGAAAAGAAAAGAAAACAATAACTGGAAACTGCAGAATAATAAAAACAGATCACCAACCGGAAACCATGACCGGAAAATAGGAGACGCGACAGACTTAGTCGCCGAAAAAAATAACAATCGTGAACAGTATCACATGAACAGCGTTGTGTGAACAGTGCCATTGGCCACCAGAATAAAACCCTAAGACCGGTGCTCCAATACCGTGTGATAAAATATTCTATTGTAGTTTATTCAATAATCGAATAAAAATAATATTACACCCTTTATATATTTTCACTACCTTGCATTTACACATATACCCCTAACTCTATACACATAACTTCTATCACTATTCTTATTGAAGATTATTGTCAATGAATTAGGTGATCTAAGTTTTTTTACGGAACAGATTCCGTTGGCATTTGAATTGACTGTTACATGTATCTGATAAGGTAAAGAGAAAGGATTGCACCTCAATTTAAAGTTTTGATGAACTCGCAGAATGATGTACCAACCACTATGTTTTTGTCCATTGACACAACTATTTTGTTTGTGCTGTAAAGTAACCTCATGCCCAATGATGTGAAGAATGAGCCTTTTAATACTTAATTAACATATTATCTTCATGGTACATTCTGGTGAAAATTCCATTCTCTGGCCATTTGAATAGTGATTTTGTGCTCTAACATCAGGTTTTTACTTTTATGTTATTTTAGGGTGGAGGAATTCCACGAAGGAGTGCACCTATTCTACAGATGATTCGCGAAGAAGTATGTTAATTTAACTCGGATTTATTTTCAACCAGAGAATGTGGTGATTGCCACATCTTACAATAAGCTTATTAAGTTGCTGAATACTTTGTGATCATAGTTATTTTCTTTTCACCAATGATATTGATATGTTTCTTCTAAAAAAAAACATAAAAATAAAAATCATTATATGCATTTTTGTTTTGTTTTAGGGATAGTTTTTCTGGTACAATATCTTCTTATATCATAATGCATGCAAGAGAAAGTAATGACTGATGTATTTGCTTGGGGTCATTTAGTTTTTTTTTGTATTTTAAAGCAATCATGCACCACAGATTGCTTGAGGTCCTCAAATGTAGAATATTTCTTGAGATATTTTGCTGTCACTGAGTCTATGACTAGTGCTAGTCTCTGTACAACTAACATGCTGGTTTCATTTAAACAGATGCCTTGATCTCTATGATTCATTTTTGGACAATTCCATCTTACTCTTTGGACAGACCTTGCTGAATTCAATTAGGCATTGTCTATTAAAGAGTAGTCATGACTCATGAAGCGTAAAATGCTTGCACCTCCAACTTTTGCATGTTCTCTGATACTTGTACAATTGTCTGTTCAATAAACATGCTCGACTCACTTGAAGTCATTTGAACAAAGGCCTTTCTCTCTAAAACTCATATCAAGGTTACTCCCCCATTTACTGTTTTCTTGTTTTGTTATCATGTCTTAGGTCACAGAAGACGGTAAATACTCTCTAGTCTTGGTGTTTGAGGCAAAGGCTCTGCAGTTGTCAGATTTTGAGCAACGACAGGTAAAACATAGTACAAACTTGCGGAAGTTGTCTTCAATTATTTGATGTGATATTTCTCTGAAGATTTTTCGCACCTTATATTTACTTTTTCTAGACCCTTGCAACAGTGAATAATTTAACTGCATACTAATTTGATTATGTTTAATCATGCAATTAGGCAAAATTTGCTTCATTCTTTGGGCCTGGGATCGCAGCTGAAGTTGGTGAGTTTTAGATTCAAATACAAATGTTAAAACCTTACAACATGAAAAATTATGTGAATCGCTGAAAACCACATATTTCTGGATCGTGCTGACAAACATTTTAATACAGGGAAGGGTTCAGAGGATAACCTTTATGAAGTTCGACTAATTTCCAACACCAGTCCCAATGCATCACCTGCCTGAAGTGTATGTTGTTTCATCTAATCCTAGTACCTGTATCAGCTTCCATTCATTACTTCACATATGCTCGTCTAAAAATTTTGTATATGTATATATATATTTAGATTCAATTTGAAAGACGTTTTAGTATCAACATTAAATTTTGATTAAATCACACAAAAGATAAATAGAGACAGCTGGAAAGGTGATCGAGCTGAAGATTGATATGAACACTGAGGAATATGTTTCAATCTTACTATCTTAGGCATAAGAGCTCAACTAAAGTAGTTTCAGATGAGTTTTAGTTAAGTGGACTAGGTATAACTGGTGACAACCATACCAGAGTTTTAAGTCCGGATGGATTTGAAATGTTCTTATAGAAAATGCTTAAGAATATAAACAACTAGATAGAAAACCCGCGTGTTACGTGGGTATGTTCATTGGATATTTTTGAAACAGTTTGTAAACAACCTTATGGTAATGATGGAAACCAATTATATTCAGCCATAAAAATTGTTAAATATATTTTTTTCATAGGTAATATTATGGGTTTATATTTTCTAGAATGTGAACAGATTTAACTTTCAATTTGAAGGTGAATGGTTAGTAAAATGTGAACAGATTTAACTTTGAATTACCTTCATTAACCATCAACCAATCATATCTTAGCACATTAATTATAGACACTTACAATAATTATAGAGCTCCCAAAATCCTATATAGCATCCTACATGAAATCTACCTGGCGATCAATAGCAAGGGTGTGGGCTTCTGAATTATATAGATATGATAGATCAGATCTGTTTAAAGACCCTTTAATTACTTGGACTATTAAAATCATTTTGTGGAAAGAACTGTTAGGTTTTTTAACGTTTATACATAATTTTATATAGTTTAATTAAACATTAAGAATCAAAAACAGAAATATTTTAATAAGAAAGGTATTTTAACAGTATCAAAGTCAGCATAAACTTGTCATTAGACTGTAGAAAATGCTTGGAGTATTTATTTTGAAAATTAGTCAAGAGTTTTTTGCAAGCATGGGGACAACTGAACTCCTGATCCTTGGCCTAGGCAATTTATGGAACTCCAAAATATAACATTGTGCCAGTAATTGTTTGTTTTATGGTAATTTATAAATATGTTAATATTATATACCATATGTGATCGATTAATTTTAAGTATATCTACCATTATCAGGAATTATATTATTTTTGATAATTCCGTATGGGGTTTTTTTCAAGTTATGGATGAAGTTTAACAAACACCTTATGCTAAGAACACTTTATAAATAATGATATATACAAAAATTCCTTCCTATATGTTGTCAAGAGAAAAAAAAAAAAAAGAAAAAAAGGAGTAAACTGCTTTTTCTCACCCAAATAATAACTTAATGACACTTTTCCACTCATAAATTTTAAAATACCACTTTAATATTTAAATTTATATTTCGTTGTTTTCGATTCTGACATCGACCTTATACTACTATCATTCTCTTTTTCAATCATCACTCATCAAACCCTACTCTCGTCGACCTATCAATTTTTGGTAATCGAGCGATTAGGGTTTGCACAACTGTCACTTCTAAGTCAAATTCTGATCAATCCTAATTATCAAAATTCAACCTTCTATAATCAAAAGACTCATAGATTTCTCCTCTTTAAAAGTTTTAACAGTCTGGATAAATTTGCTTTTTATTTAATATAAATTTAGATAATAAAACATTAATTTAAAAGTTTGAGTAAAAAAATGTGTGATCATTTAGGTGGAAAACAGTCGTTAACTTCGTACAACAGTAATGTTACCAACCAAATAAAAATTCATAAACGTTAATCGTGCTGTCGTGTCATGAATGATTTCTTTTTCCTGTTTTGAGTTTTCAGAGATTTTGTCTTGGAAAATGGAGTTCGATCGGAATTGCCATTGCATGATACCTTCTGTTTTACTCCGGCCGAAATGGGTATTAGAGAGAGTTTAATTGAATTTAGAAGATTTAGATTTCAGGTTATTAAACAAGTAGGTCACTACTTGTCTACTTCACCAAACTCATCATTCAGATGATATCATTTACCCAATTTCTTTGCTTGGTGAAATTAATTTGAGAGCTATTTTTCCTAGAAAAGTCTGAGAACTTTTCATTTTCTCTTTCCCGTACCACCATATGATTTTTTCCCGGCAAAATATGTGGGCAAGAAAGAGACTAGGAAAGAATGAAAAAAAAAAATGGAGGAGGGGCCTAGAGAACCCCCTGTATTCTGAAGCCAAAACAAAAGGCATGCACGTGAAGCAAAAAAGTTGTCAGCCAATTTCACCATAACAGCAACAAAAATAATACAGCAAATGCATACTAGCTCTAATCAAACAACAACTACCATAGAAACAAACTATCTTTCTCCTCTGCCATAACATGATTGCTCTCATTTTCCCCACCACACAAACACACAACACAATTCCTTATAGAGAGTGAAAAAGAATCTTGATTTCTTCCAATATTCTTTTACCATTTCCAGCTGTTTGATTTTAATTTTATTTAGCACCCTTTAAGATGAGGAAGAAAGATATTATGTTTGTTTCTTCTTGGTTTGTGTTTTTCTCTATGCCTTTTTCTCATCCATGACAAGCAACCTCCTTGCATACTGCTGCTGCACCTGCACCCATCTCTTTTCTTTATCTGCATATCTTCTTTATTATCTCTTGTTTCTTTCACTTCAACCTGCACTCAGTAAACAACACTGACATCAATATCATGCTTGCTTCCTACCTTTATATGCTTTTTTATTTTTATGGGAATGTCTTCAATATCTATTTGCTACATTAAGGTGCTATAATGAGGTTTTAAGGACCTATAAATCATATTAAGACATCATTAATACATTAATCTGAAACCCACATCCCTCCTTCCACCTTTGAATGACGTGTGAACTGGTGAATGGTGGTAAAAGATCATTTTCATGACAGTTGTCACATATATTTTTATTTTTCCACATTTTCTTTTGTTGGGACCTTTAGCTTCCTCTATCTAAACAAGAATCAATTTCACTTAAGTAGTGTACACCTGAGAGTACTTGAAGAGTTGTAGACTCCACTCGAATGGCAACTATTTTTCTTAATATAAAGTGTACTATGTATCACACTACTGTATCTCAAAACATAAAACATACGAACATATCATATTCTCCTTTCATTTGCAGGCAGATATTAAAGTGACTTCAATTATCAAGTGTCAGTGTACAAAATTGGTGTGGTTTCTTGTGAATATCTTGGGCAATAATGCAGCAAACTTTCTATTGCATGAAACCATCACCTAATGGTGAGAGCATTCAGCCCTGAGACATTGCTATTTTTTGGAATAAATTCGGAACTAAAGGCAGTGATATGGCACTTCTGATTGAGAACCCCAAAGAACAATAATGAAACAAGAAAAAAAGTGAAAGGGTTACTTTGACCAGTTTTAGGGAAGACTCATTCTGGCTTCACATAAAACAAAGAGAAGATAAGTAACACAAACATGGGTTTAGGGAAAAAAAGCAGGGGAAAGTTTTCATAACTTGGTTTTCGAATTATTTTCTTCTTGTTTTGAATCCCAAGTGGGTTTTGTATCATACACCTGTTTCTTTCATCTCTGAAGAATGCTTTATTGCCTGAAAAATTGATTTTCAAAAGCAGGGAAAAACAGAACTAGATGTGCTGGAAAGTAGCCCACTTGGAGGAGAAAAACTTCGGCAATTTTTGGATTACTTGTAAACTTGGGGTATATGCACGCATTAGGGAGAGTTAAATTGCTAGCCCCCACCAAGACCGACCACGTTCCATTCCATTTAATTGTGAGGCATAAAAAAATAATATATCAAAGCATTTTGGCCTTGTTTTGGAACATTAGAAGCTAGAATATTAAGCTGTGCCCACAAAAAACATAGGGACCAAATTATCTACTATTCCCCCACCCCGGAAGGTCACAGTGTCGAACAGTCAGGATAGCCTGATTGCCACAGTCTTGAGAAACGCATACTATTATCAATAAGAGAAGAATATCACCATAGATTTAGCTAGATAGCTAGAAAATTATACAAGCACTAAACACCCTTCAGGAACACAGGCAGTTCTGTCATTCATTGCCGTAATGTTATGCATAGTCTATTGTAGTTGACAGAAGGCAAGGTACTAATGTTTGGGAACTATAAATTTGACCTCTAATTTATAACTTACTTGAAATGGGAAACCTGCAGTAAGTCTCAGAATCTTGATTTTAAAACTCAAATGGGGTAAAAAGTAAAAGCTCCATCTGAATAATTAATGATCAGGTGGTGTTTGGTTTTGCATTGTTGCCCTTTGAGTGTTCTGGATGCTTGTATTTTACAATTGAGTAAATGAAATTGTTGATGAAGAAAATTGTACATACCTCTTCCTCAGATTTGATCTTTGCATCAGAATTAGGTGAGTCTCCACTGGCTTCTACTTCGCAACGTTTTAACGATCCTTCAATGATTGAAGGGGTGGAAGCAGGGCTTGGACTTGCAGAACTGAGATGGGGTGGTGTGCTTTGAGTCCCCACATCTCTAGTCATCCCCTCCATTTTGCTCTCTGCAAAAATAAACATCTTCTATCTTTCAAGTACTTGAAATTAAAAAGAATTAAGGAGCAAAACAGAGTGTTTAAATAAGATTAAGACCTGGAATTGGAAACCGAGCTACATCTTCTTCTTGCATAGTCATAGAAGGCTTATTGGTTTGCATATTTCGTGAATGGTGAGAGGAGTTATAAACAAGAGGAGCAGACATGGTAATTCTGTTAGTTAAATTACGAAATGATCTTCCACTGAGTGTTTTTGCAGACAAACACTCCATTGGAAACTCTCCTGAAAGAGGGTTGCATATATACTTCTCAGCTTCATTCCACTTGGAGTTCAAAGCAAACCCATCTGGAGATGAACATTCCCAGCTATTATAAACCGTCCTCGCTTGCAATGCTGCAAAAAATCATACAAAAAAATAATCAAACTCTCTTTGATGATCATCCTGATGGATTCTTCTTAAAAGAGTGGAGTTTAAATTACCTTTGAGAGCATTGGTGAAAGAGTAGGTTGATGGGTCGATTTCTTCTGAAAACAAAAAAAAAAGAAGAAGAGAGAGGTTGAGAAAAAGAGTGGAAAAAAGAGAGACAAGAAGAAGAAGAAGAAGGTGGAAACCTCTTAAAGTGTAGCCAGGGGAAGAGGCAGTGCTAGAAATGGTGAAGTTTGATCTAAAAGACGGGGCGTCTTCTCGAAAACTTCTAATATGAGAAGCGGAAAACCTTCGAGAATTAGTGTTGTCGCGAGAAAGACGAGCCTTGAAAGCCCATTCTCGCAAGTTGAAGTCAGGAGCATCATGATCATGTTGATGATGGTCATCTCGTCGTTGTTGTTGCTTCATGATAGAAGCCATGAATGAAGTTCAATTAATGATGTTCTACGCTTTTTAAGTTTCTACCGCTCGACTCTATCTATCATCTCAAGTTTGCACTTTCTCCATTTTTTTTAATACTACTGTATATATATTTTTTTGGCCCCAAAGTTTTCGAACTTTATTTTTTTTTTGGGGAACAACTTTCCTAACTTTACAAAATAGACCTTCAAAGTTTAAAAACTTTTCTCTAACTCCATTAAATTGCCATTACATTTACAAAACACTTTTTATAAGAAAATGTTGAAGCTTTTTTCTTTTTTTTCTTTTGACGCTGTGCCAATAACATATTGATGTGGAGAAATACCTGGGAATTGAAAAATGTTACATGAATGTATTGTATGTTTCGATGTTATGTTAAGTTTAGGTTACGATAATTAATTTACTTTTATAATAAATTTTAGTTAAAATAGTTTAACGCAAGATGAATTTTTAGCTTGCAAATGAATAGACGAGATCCATACAAGCAGACGGGACCCATTTTGCGAGACGAACTGTCACATCGGAGGTTTTGAGAAAAGGTTGTGAGATGAGGTTGTAGACTTAGTATTACTCATCATTGAACTTGGATTCAATTCTTTGTCATCAATTTTGTGCTCACCATTTTGACAATAAATTTCAAATATTATAGTATTTACACCAAATTTTATTTTTATTTTTAATTGAAAGTTTTATTTTCGAAATAATGTACTGTTATTTTAGATAAAAAAAAAAAAAGAAAAATTCTTAGAACATAATGTATACAATGGCAGAGCATTATAAAAATTCAATTGAACTTCATTACATGGCATTGGCTTTATTATTATTATTATCAAAAGAGTAAACGACATATTCCCACCCAAGGTTTGATGAAAACCTAAGTTGGTACCCCAAGTTACATTTATTTCAGATTCTCACCCTTAAAGTAATAGGTAAATGTTTGATGTAACGGTAAATGGGTAAATTGGTCATTTTACATGAGCAGCGCCCGTTAGCAGACTGTCGCCTCTAACAGTCCTTCGACGCACATTAGTGGACGGCGTCCCGACTTTTTTGCACTTTTTCCGGTGATTCTTCCACCCAAAATCACCTTTGTCACCACCATTTGATCCTCCATCCTCCCCTCTACAAAACCATAAACTTTACAACCCCTCATCACTCATCAATCACCGGCCACGGCAGTTGCAACATGCAACTGGTTTTTGCCGGTTTTCGGTCGTTTTAAACGGTGAAAACCCCAACACCACCACCATTTGACTCATCGCATCCTCCCCTACAAAACTCCTACCTTCCCAGCCATGACAGCTCACTATTTGCCGTCCACCACTTCACCAAAAAAATGGTGGATGAACACAAATTCTCGGTCGGCAAACGATGACGAAACGGTTGCTAGGGACATAGGGGTTTTATAGATTTGGAGACTATGGTTGTAGTGATGGTGTCCAATTGGATTTTCATCACCGGAATTGATCGAAATTTAGCAAAGAACACCGAAACCCTAAGCCTAACGATGCCGACGATTGGAGGGGCCAATGAGTCGGGAACCAGAGGGGTTTTGGACGATGTACTACGGGGAAGGTGATGGAGGTGACCAAGGGGTTCAACGCCATCAGAAACAGCCCAGATCGGGCTGTTTCCGACGAGGGTGTGTAGTGACCGAGGATGTTTTTGACATAATTTGAAAATAAAATGGTAAGTTTTATAATTCTACTAATTTAGGGGTTAAAACATAATTTATTAATTTAGGGTTAAGGGTGTTATAGTAATTGTACCCTCTAAACCCTAAAAATTGCTAATACTGTTATTTTAAGGGTGGGAATTTGGAATAAATATAACCTAGGGTATCAATTGGGATTTCATCAAACCTTGGGTGGGAATGTGTCGTTTACTCTTATCAAAACAACCATTATGAAAACAAGACATAATATCAGCATGAAAATTAAAGAAATTCAAATTCAAAAACAGTAACAGCGACAGAAGCAGTGGTCCTTAGGATGAGATAAAATTAAAATATTTAATATTTAATATTTCAAAATACAGAAAAATCTTTTGATTTACAACAATCAAATCAACACTTGACACGTGGAGATACTCCCATTTTTATTACCATTTGCCTTCTTACGTACATTCTCAAATTCAGAAAGTATTTTCAGTGCTTTGTAATTTCTCTTACTTTTTGGAAAATAATGAGTACAATCAACTTTTATTTAACTTTATTTATATGGTTTTGCCTTCATGTGAAACTTATAAATTTATAAACAAAAAAAGGTAAAATTTGTATTTAATATCATAGCCAAACTACCATTGGGTGACTTAATGGTAAAAGAGTAAAAAAAGTTTGATGAGCTCCTGAATTTGAATCTCCCCAAGTACTATAGGGGTGGTCGTTGGGGCTCTTACCCAGGTGACAGTTCTATGGCCTCGGATGTGCGCAAGCTGGTCTAGCAACTCGGGTGATAAAACCGGAACCAGCCCGGCTGGTTTAACCGGTTGAACCGAGACCCAGGGCCTCCTTCGGGTCAGGTTACACTTTCAATCGTTTCAAGTTTCAAATCTTGTAAACACACCCTTGATTAATACGAATCAGTCCCTGAAGGTTTGAAATCCAACAAACACAATCTTTGGCCAAATGCAAATCGATGACAACCTCCTTTCTAGCGACCTTCCACCTTCCCTTGCTGTTGAAAACCACATTCTGACTTTCTCTGGGGTCGTGACGCTTCATCTCCCGTTGTCGCATGATGTTTTGTTGTCCATCAATTTTTCTTCCATTTCCCGGCGTCGATCTGCCTTCTCCAGCATTGATAGGCCTCCTCAGCTACCGATCTACCTTCTCCCAAGCTCTCTTGTCATCATTCACAAAGATCCACAGTCATCTCACCAAAAAAGCCACCACGACCTTTGACTTCCACCACCGATCTGCCATTTTTCGACGATGCCTCAACTTGCTAGCTACTGATTCGTCCTCCCCATCACCCGATCTACCCTCCTTGGTGTGTCGCCGTCGCTCTCCTAGTTGATAGTCGATTTGCATTTGGCCAGAGGTTGTGTTTGCTAGATTTCAAACCTATAGGGTCTGATGGTATTTATCAGGGGTGTGTTGCTAGATTTTAAACCTGTTAAATCATTGGTTAAACCGTTGGTTTAACCAGTTAACCTGTGACCCGATCGCCTGAACGAGTCACCCCTCGAATTGGGTTTTAAAACCTTGATATCTTTTAACGCAAGATGAATTTTTAGCTTGCAAATGAATAGACGAGATCCATACAAGCAGACGGGACCCATTTTGCGAGACGAACTGTCACATCGGAGGTTTTGAGAAAAGGTTGTGAGATGAGGTTGTAGACTTAGTATTACTCATCATTGAACTTGGATTCAATTCTTTGTCATCAATTTTGTGCTCACCATTTTGACAATAAATTTCAAATATTATAGTATTTACACCAAATTTTATTTTTATTTTTAATTGAAAGTTTTATTTTCGAAATAATGTACTGTTATTTTAGATAAAAAAAAAAAAAAGAAAAATTCTTAGAACATAATGTATACAATGGCAGAGCATTATAAAAATTCAATTGAACTTCATTACATGGCATTGGCTTTATTATTATTATTATCAAAAGAGTAAACGACATATTCCCACCCAAGGTTTGATGAAAACCTAAGTTGGTACCCCAAGTTACATTTATTTCAGATTCTCACCCTTAAAGTAATAGGTAAATGTTTGATGTAACGGTAAATGGGTAAATTGGTCATTTTACATGAGCAGCGCCCGTTAGCAGACTGTCGCCTCTAACAGTCCTTCGACGCACATTAGTGGACGGCGTCCCGACTTTTTTGCACTTTTTCCGGTGATTCTTCCACCCAAAATCACCTTTGTCACCACCATTTGATCCTCCATCCTCCCCTCTACAAAACCATAAACTTTACAACCCCTCATCACTCATCAATCACCGGCCACGGCAGTTGCAACATGCAACTGGTTTTTGCCGGTTTTCGGTCGTTTTAAACGGTGAAAACCCCAACACCACCACCATTTGACTCATCGCATCCTCCCCTACAAAACTCCTACCTTCCCAGCCATGACAGCTCACTATTTGCCGTCCACCACTTCACCAAAAAAATGGTGGATGAACACAAATTCTCGGTCGGCAAACGATGACGAAACGGTTGCTAGGGACATAGGGGTTTTATAGATTTGGAGACTATGGTTGTAGTGATGGTGTCCAATTGGATTTTCATCACCGGAATTGATCGAAATTTAGCAAAGAACACCGAAACCCTAAGCCTAACGATGCCGACGATTGGAGGGGCCAATGAGTCGGGAACCAGAGGGGTTTTGGACGATGTACTACGGGGAAGGTGATGGAGGTGACCAAGGGGTTCAACGCCATCAGAAACAGCCCAGATCGGGCTGTTTCCGACGAGGGTGTGTAGTGACCGAGGATGTTTTTGACATAATTTGAAAATAAAATGGTAAGTTTTATAATTCTACTAATTTAGGGGTTAAAACATAATTTATTAATTTAGGGTTAAGGGTGTTATAGTAATTGTACCCTCTAAACCCTAAAAATTGCTAATACTGTTATTTTAAGGGTGGGAATTTGGAATAAATATAACCTAGGGTATCAATTGGGATTTCATCAAACCTTGGGTGGGAATGTGTCGTTTACTCTTATCAAAACAACCATTATGAAAACAAGACATAATATCAGCATGAAAATTAAAGAAATTCAAATTCAAAAACAGTAACAGCGACAGAAGCAGTGGTCCTTAGGATGAGATAAAATTAAAATATTTAATATTTAATATTTCAAAATACAGAAAAATCTTTTGATTTACAACAATCAAATCAACACTTGATACGTGGAGATACTCCCATTTTTATTACCATTTGCCTTCTTACGTACATTCTCAAATTCAGAAAGTATTTTCAGTGCTTTGTAATTTCTCTTACTTTTTGGAAAATAATGAGTACAATCAACTTTTATTTAACTTTATTTATATGGTTTTGCCTTCATGTGAAACTTATAAATTTATAAACAAAAAAAGGTAAAATTTGTATTTAATATCATAGCCAAACTACCATTGGGTGACTTAATGGTAAAAGAGCAAAAGAAGTTTTATGAGCTCCTGAATTTGAATCTCCCCAAACACTATAGGGGTGGGGGGTGTTGGGGGTGGGGAAGGTTGTTCCAGGACCTCGGATGTGCACAAGCTAGTCTGGCAACCCGAGTGATAAAACCTGGACCGACCCGGTCGGTTTAACAGGTTGAACCAAGACCCAAGGCCTCCTTCGGGTCAGGTTACACTTTCAACTGTTTCAAGTTTAAAATCTTGCAAACACACCCTTGATTAATATAAATTAGTCCCTGAAGGTTTGAAATCCAACAAACACACTTTCTGGCCAAATGCAAATCGATGATGACCTCCTTTCCAACGACCTTCCACCTTCCCTTGCTGTTGAAAACCACATTCTAACTTTCTCCGGGGTCGTGACGCTTCATCTCCCATTGTCGCGCGATGTTTTGTCGTCCATCAAATTTTCTTCCATTTCCCGGCGTCGATCGGCCTTCTCCAGCATTGATAGGCCTCATCAGCCAACAATCTACCTTCTCCCAAGCTCTCTTGTCGTCGTTCACAAAGATCCACAGTCATCTCGCCAAAAAAGCCACCACGACCTTTGACTTCCACCACCGATCTGCCATTTTCTGACGATGCCTCAACTTGCTAGCTGTTGATTCGTCCTCCCCATCACCCAATCTATCCTCCCTCTTGTGTCGCCGCCGCTCTCCTAGTTGATAGCCGATTTGCATTTGGTCAGGGGTTGTGTTTGTTAGATTTCAAACCTATAGGGTCTGATGGTCTAAACCTGTTAAATCATTGGTTACACCACCGGTTTAATCGGTTAACCTGTGACCCAATCGTCTGAACGAGTCACCCCTCGAATTGGGTTTTAAAACCTTGATATATATATTATAGCTAAATCCTATATATTTAATATTTACTTGAAAATACAATGATCCATCTTGATTCATAACACAATCCTATATGTTGAGGAGTAAGGGGTTGATTTGTTAATGCCATTGTAGAGTTGTTTTTAACATGGGTTTGAAAGGAAATTAACCAAAACCTTCTATCCAGAAGATGAAGAAGAAGAAGAAGAAATGGGGTTGAAAGTGTAAGGAATGTTAGTATGTTTTGTTACACTATTAAATGGATGTTGATGTGCATGTGCATGAAGTTGTCATCTTCCATAAGAAAGTGAGTGAAGAAAGGACAGGCATACAATGGAGGTGGTGGGTGGCCCTCCCTCCTATTATGGAAAAAAGAAAAAAGAAAGAAAAAAAAAGAATGTAGGCCCCATATGAAGCTCATCATGACCGTCAGATTTTGTCTGATGTTAATGCAATGTAGGTGTCATTTGATAGTGAGAGATGGCCCATCACCTGTCACACTGCGCTGTTCATTTAATCTCTAAACTTTATCCAAAACAGATTTTCTTCCCTTTCAATTTTGTCTCATATTTCCCTTCCTATTCCTGATATATTTCCTTTCTTATTCCTTATAAAATTTGAGGTAGGCTTGAGTCTTTATCTAATAAGGTTTTATTAAATAAAAAAATTATCCCTTCTTATAAATCAATAAGCTTAGCGTATTTAATTAATATAAAACTCCAATAATTTTCCTCACAGTCAAACCCATATATTGGATCATGCCTATTGATAGAGGTAGTTACTGACTTTAACTCTTCACCTGTTGGTCAAACATTCAACTCAACTAAATCTGGACTCTGATACCATGATAAAATTTGAGGTAGGCCTGACTCCTCATACAATAAGTTCTTGTTGAATAGGAAGATTATTGTTAGAGTCCCATATTAACTAGACATACTCAAGCCTATTGAGTTATAAGAGGGGACAACACCAACCACAATAAGAAGGGGTTTAGACAAATAGACGTTTCTCCAATTCTAATTTTCAAAATGTCAAACCTTTATTTAAATGACATATATCACTGTAAAACCATGTGACTAAGTGTTTATACCCCAAATAAAACAGAAAATGAGTTATTTTTAACATATAACAATAGATTATGTTAGATTATACTAGATTTGATAGTCTCTTAAAACATGTTAAACCATACTATATTTAATATTATAGTGCATTCAAACTATTTTTGTTCTTATCTTTTTTAATTGAGGATAATCATGTTCACTTACATGATTTTATGGTTATTTTTTTCTTTTATATATTGTACATTTTAGAAATTAAAATTAGTTAAAATGATAACATAAGAGAAATCTCTAAAAAGAAAGACATAAAGAAAAAGAAAAAAAAAATATACTAATATTTGCACCTACGTTTTGACATATCAATTATCACAATTTAATTAGTTGCTTTTATATGTATGTCCTTTTCATTGTTGAGCCATGTTTATATTAGAATTGTATGATTAATATTATTGAAAAATTGATTGATTTAACATTGTTGAGCCCTGTTCAATTGATAGATAATAGATGTTAGTAAATTATAAAACAATGTATATTATGTTATGACTTGGCAGGAGCATAAGCTAAAGGTATATTACCTATCTTTTCCTCAACTAAACTATTAAGAATGTATGATTATATACAAACTTTGTCACATCAGATGCACGTTTCGCATGATAAATTATGCGATTCATCTTCAGTTATGTCTTTTAACACAAAATTTATGCAATGTGTTGCACAAGGTGGCCAAATTATACTCAGATATTTCTCGGACAACATTCTTCCAACAGCTTTATAATTGGATCCATTGTCTAACACAAAATGGACAATACTACTTTATTCAATCCATAAAGCTATTTCCTCAAACAACTTCAACAATGTCTCGGCATCCTTTATAACATCTGAAGCATCCACTGTTTCAACAAGACCTTATTGCGTGAGGAATCAGATCCACCTCAAATTCTATCATGATATTAAAGCTCAGGTTCAGTTGAGCTGAGCATTTGACCAGCGGGTGAGGAGTTAGAGCCAACAACTACCTCCATCAATATGCATGACCCAACATATGGGCTTGACCGTGAGGGAGAGTGTTAGAATCTCACAATGACTAGACACGCTTAAACCTATTGGTTTATAAGAGGGGATAATCCTCCCATTCAACAAAGCCTTATTGGGTGAAGAGTCAGGCCCACATCAACAAAACTTGAAAAAAATTAATTTAAATTAGTTTACAAAAATGGTTTGAAAAAATAAAAAAAGCAATAATATAGAGTGAAAACCACTGCTAGACCTGTTGAAAAAAGAGCAAAATTAGGTTCTATGAGCTCCTAAATTTGAGTTCTCCCAAACAATAATAAGGTGACTATTAAGGCTCTTATCCGACCGATAATTTCAGGACATTAGAAGATTAGTTAAGGTATACGTAAACTAATCCGAATAATCTAGACGATAAAAATAAAAAATAAAAAACAAATATAGAGGTGAAGGGGTACCTCCTTTTCAAATGTAGCACACCTGCACATGCATACATAGTGCAAGACACAACAAGAGTTGGTTTTCTTTATATCCTTCTGCAGCAACTAAAGTTACAGTTGTTTTACATGACTCATTCTCAAAACTACTTGCCTTGTACTGTTCTTTTCTTTTTTTTTTTTTTTTTAATATTAGCTCTGTTCATGTTTAGCTTAAATCCAGTTTTGGATTCATGAAACCATTTTTTTTTTTTTTTTTTTAAAACTTAGTAAATGTCAGAAGTTAATCAAACCCATGTGATACTAAAAGATCTTCAATTTTAAAGCATGATCCCCCAACTTAGAGAATGTTAAAAATATACAGCAATGGGATTGCTCGATGCTCAACAGTTTGCTATCTAAAATCATCCAGGGACAATATTTCTGTAGAGTTACTGGTCATTATATCATGTACGGGCACATAAAAAACTAAGGTTAAACTTATAAAATTTCATTTCTTTCTTTAAATAAATCATGTCCAACCCAGTTCAGAAAATGAAACAAGCTCTGTATTATTATCAGATATTTAGATGCATAGAGAGAGATTTGTACGCTAGCCATTCAATCTAAACCTCTTCTTGAACTTGAGAGAATGTAAAATCAGCATCCCACAATGTAGGAAGTTAGCACTTTGAGAATATGTTAATCCCAATCAGCAATAGATTCAAAGAAAAAGATATGAATGGTTGATGAAGCGGGAAATCGGCAAACTTAATAGTTTTATTCATTTAGTTTTGAACTACTATCACAAGAAAATGGTGAGCTACCTGAATCTAATGCCAGTAACCCCATTTAAATGGACTGAACCAGAGTCGGAAAAATAACACAAACCTTCCGATTTTGCAGAAATTGATGGCAGAATAAGCGTTGACGAAGTTCTATACACTTAACTGGCAGCAGAACATCGTTTCAAGCTTGTCTAAATCTTTATGACATTTTATTAGCAGTTCGTATTGTGATTGCTTGACAGCCTAAAGATTACAGTGCACGCTTGCTCCACAAAGGCCGAAAAAACAGAGGAACCAACAGCCAACAGCTTCACACATCTGCAGCAGATTTGTCTGGCAATTGTAAAAGCAGGCCGTGAAATGGAGGTATCAGAGTTGTCCAAGAAGTCAATCTTCAGGAATCAGAATTCCATGGTTTCATGACTTGCTCTCAACTTGTCCAATGATTTTGTCTGAAAAAATAAGATTAAAGTTTCAATAAACTTGAATATGTAGTCATATAATTCAAATATAACACTGCCGCGTGTCAGTTGGAGTATTTATCATTGAGGTTGAATATAAAACTATCCTACTCCATCATACACTCAGGTTTAACAGATCCCCTTCATAGGAGGCTCCACTCTTGATCCAATTTAAAGATGCATAAAGGTTACTTTAACAAATTAAGAATTTAATAACCATACATACCTACAAGAGCTCAGTCTTCTTGAAGCCTTCTCCACAATTAAACATATGAGACAACTGCAGCTCAAAACTCAGAAACATAATGAAAAATGATACCATGGTAGTCAGCAAGAACAGGTGATCGCCAACTGAAAATCAGGCTATAATGAGTCAGGTTCCGTATACAGGTATATTACAGTGAAATAATCAAAATATAAAAGATTTCTAAAATACTCACTATCAAAAGAGAACATTCAATCAGGACTCACCCAAACTGGTGTAATCATTCAATATTTTCCTGAAACATAGAGATTCTACATCATAATCAACTTGGATTAGAACAGAGTGAAATATTTGTAAAGGGATAAACACGAAAAAAAAAAGCTCACCACTAAAAATATTATGATCAAGTAACTTCAAGAATTTGCATAAGCATATAGATTTCCTGCTTAACGAGAAAAAAAAAAATGTCAAAAAATTTAGTTAAGACAAAGCGGTTTCTGGAAGAGAGAAAAAAAAAAATCAATGCAATAACTAAGTTGAATATCTAAAATCAATGCAATAAAAAAGTTGACTCTCTAATAATAGCTCATGAAATTCACTAGACATTACATCATACTTGCACAGAAGAAAACATGCACATCCAATTGCCACAATTCTTTTAATTCTTACATTTTGGTTCCAATGGCAGAGGAGAATTAAGAAAGGTCAAACATGTGGGTGTGTTTGTTTTATTATTTTGAGTAGTATTTTTGAAATATTATTGGTAGGCAGAGTTGGGTGATTATTACAAGGTGAAATTTAAAAAGTAACAAAAAAACACCCCTAAGTTTGCTAATTTAACTTAACACCCCAATATATAAAAATTTTGTAAAATGACAAAAACACCCCCACCACACATGGTTGCCAGATTCCGGCCAACATCGCTGGAATCTGGCGTTACGGCGCCCGACCGGCCAGATGGCCTTTTCCAGCGAGATCCATGGTGGATTTGGCTGGTAAATGATAGATCGGCGCACTACCGGCCAGATCTAGCCAGTAGTGCGCCATTATACCAGATTCCGGCTACCTTCCGACGGTGGTGACCGGAATCTGGCAAATGTGGGTGGGTGGGTGAAGGTGTTTTTTTCAATTTCTAAACTTTTTTTTCGGAGGGTGTTTAGTTAAATTAATAAACTTAGGGGGTTTAAAAATAATTGAATAAAATATAATAGTATTTTCATAATAGATGAATAAACGTGTACTTTGAAAATAATATTAATAGGATAGTGAAAAATAATTAAACAAACGGACCCATTTTTTTTCAGCAAATTAAATCAGAAAAGTAACCCACAGTTTTAAACACATTCAAAATTTCAGAACTACTTTTATAGTCGCTGGATGATCTTAAAAGAAACAGAAAAATATTACCTTGTCCAAGTATCAGAACTCCATTTGCTGCCAAAGGTACAATGTCTTGAATCTTTTCACCAACAAATATTGCTTCAATAACTAAGAGGCCAAAACAAAAGTCATTCAGATTGCTTCAATTCAAACAAAAAGGGGAGAATGGTTGAACTAGAAGGCATAATAGAAGTTAAGTATTTTCTTTCTCTGGAGAAATAAGTTTGTAAATAGCTTTTGAATAGGAAACATCTGCAGCAAATAACGATTTCAAAACAACTTCCCCAGATCATATAACTATAGATGCAAAATGATGGTAAATGTCCACCTGAAAGCAATCTCATAAGCTAAGCGATAGAATTACCAGGCTTAATGTCTATTTCAAGATATTTAGACCAGCAAAACAAAGAACTGTGATTACCTGAGATTTGCATTAGCTTCTCCTCGATCTCGTTTCTACCATTTTCGCCAACAGTGATATCTGCATCAGATGCAGCCATTACATGCACAGAGTGTTGTCCATCTGTAATCCAAATAGTTTGTGTTCCTGAAAGATAATTTCAAATTTCTTTAGTTACTGAGGCAGTTCTGCAAAGACCAATCCTCAAGCTTTTCCGGTGAAGCTGATGCCCGAAGGGCATAACAGAAGACAAAATTAGAAAATGTAACTAAGCTACGAATGAAATCCCTCCCTTCTTAACAATCCACTATTCAATTTCTTTTTCAAATATATGCAGATTTGTTCTCCTTCCCATTTCCTACTTCTTATAACATAGCTTAAAAGCGCACACAGGCTAACACCCCCATACCACACCCCTAAATTACAACAGACAGTCCACTTCAAATAGTTTTCAGTAGATGTGCAAGTCTCTCTTTGAACACAACTTTATGAAAGTCCACAAAACCTAATGCAAGTAAAACCATTTCCCGAAATAAAAGCAGCTAAAAAGAACAAGAATTTAGAGCAACATACGTAGGGAAATATCAGGGAGAACAGCCAGCTTTAGCACATTCATAAAATGAGGCAACCACCTCATGTGACCAATGATGTTTGATCCAGCAACAGAGTTGGAAAGGTGTAAGATGTGTAAATCTCCAGCAGAATCCAATATCAGAAACTTTTTCGCAGACACAGCCTGGATAGAAATTGCCTTCAAAGACATGAATGCAGTTGTAGTAGAATTTAAGCCTTCAGCTTTCTTGCTCCTAAACGCCACAAAATATGCAACTCCTTCACTGGAGTCTTGTCTGCATTTAACAGACCTCTGCTTTACTGCAAGTTTGAATGAACAATCAACCTTAAAGGACAATGGCAAACCAGGATTTCATAATTATATTAGCTGAAACAATCAAAGCGTCTTCAGATTTGTATACATATAGGCAATCAGATCATGTAAATCTTTCTTAATTGTCTTTGCAGAAATGACAGAATACACAAGTCAGGTACCCAACTAACAAATAGAGAAGAAAACATATAAGCCAACTCCTATCAAAGATATATTTCTAATTAGTAATTTACCATCTAGAGGCATCCTTATGATTTAAACCAAAGGACAGCACCTCGCTTAAAATGAGTAGCACCCATTTCCTGGTTCACAAGAAATACCTACATACAAATTGTCAGAGCAAAGCACAATAAAAAAATATATAATCTTGGTGCAAGTAATGTGAAAATGTCTATTGACATCTAAGTTAATTTGCAGGGTTACAGGAAGACGTACATTTAGACAATTTTGTCAGAAGACTTGGGGATACTGATACATAAAGACGCAACAAGGAGTAAAGTCAATGACTAGAGGCACTTAAATTGACCATAAAGACAAGCTAATCCAGCACAAAAAACATGGCAAGCACACAAAACAATAAACAATTTACATGTTAAAGTGCTTTAGAACGGTTAAAAGAACATGGAAAGAGCTCTTGATAGGTAATGGGAAAAGAATTAACTTTTGGGAGCATTGCTGGTTGGGGGAGACACCTTTTTGTTTGTTAAATCCTCAGTATATTGGCTAACAACCTTCTGCTAAGTTTCTATTAGAAGTCGGGCATTTTTATTGTTTTACTCTAGGTGTTGGAAGTCACAGAAAATTCTTCTCTTCAATCAGCTAATGTATCTGTAAGCAGTTTGAAGAGAGACAGCAACCTAAGGAGAATTATTCCTTGGGAAACTTTTCATGCAAATCGACTAATCAATCCTTTAACTCAGTTGGCTAGAATGATTTGGAAAGAGAAATTGCAAGCAAGATTTAAATACTTTCCCGGGTAAGCTCATAGAACAATTAAAAAAATTTGACCTAGTTCAAAACAAAAGGTCTAATTTTTCCTATGCCCTCCTCGTTGAGAGGTGAGCATAAGTGAAGAGTTAAGTATTATTCACCTATTTATCTATCGCCCTATCTCTGAATTTGTGGTATAATCTTTTGTAGGCAGACAGGCAATAAGGCTTACAGGTTGTTACAAAGTTTTGTCGATTTTGGTAAGGCATGGGAAACATGCGCATGATAGTAAACAGGTTAGCTGTTACATTCCGGCCATTTTAAAGTTAGAGCATCATCAATTCAATCATAGGTACAGCTTATCAGTCCAATAAGTAATGAAAAATTCTCCATTTCATTTTCAGATATCCCGTATCTGAACAATCACTTATCTCTCACTCCCTAATGATGTCGTTCGAAATTAAGCCACATTGTCATAAAAACCCGATAAATTACCTCTCTCTCTCACACCTTCCTAATCCTTGTAAAGAGTTTTAAAATCTCAGCTTTCCTTGTGCCCCCCAAACTCCACCCATAATTGTTTATTTTAACAGAGCATTATGATAGTACTGTAGTTATGGCAAGTATGCCTACCATAAACATTGCCAAAATGCAAAATTGCAACCTACGTTATCGGCACTCAATTATAAAATATTACTGCAGAGCGCAGTACACAACACAAATTAAAAAACAGCAATCTAGGCATTTCAAGATGGAAACTTAATTTTTGGAGGACAATCGAGTGGGGGAAGAGCATATCTGATCCATCCTAGGAAACCAGTAAAATTTATGCAATAGACGAATAATTACCCCAAAACCTGAATTAAATGAAATTCTTAAGTTATAATTCCATGTCCACAGGTGAGATCAATTCTAAATCACAGTGGAATGCAAAATTTACTAGGCATATCTGAGCTAACATAAACTCAAGCTGGAATGTTGCAGGAAAATAAGGAGTAGACAAAAATTAAATTGCAGAAGCCAAACTCCTAGTTAACGACATTACAGATACTGAGAACACTAAATCCTAAATTTAGGAACAAGGGTAAGAAATTTATTTCACTGTTTCAAATGTGCATCTTCATAAACTAAACTAATAGACAGAGGATCATCGACACAACTCATCGAATTGCCGTATAAAGCAGTAACATTGCCATGAACCTCACAAAATTAAATTTTAATGTTACAACTCTAATCTACTCAACATAAACTAATTATCTCAGCACGAAGTTTTTCCAATAACATCTGTATTCGACAATAAATAAAGAAGTCAAATTTGGCATACTGGCTACAGCTAGAATTCACAAACTTACCGGAAAAACAATGCTTATCACTCCTCCCATCCACATAACCATTGCAAGCAACATCTTGATTTGATCCACCAAAAGCACCATCCCCAATTATCCCATTTGGCAAACCAGATCCTTTAAAATTCTTTACTCTCTTCATCTTTTCTTTAACCAAATTTCTCAAATTGAAAGCCCTAACCCCATTCTCCTCCCCCAAAATCATGAACCCAGATGACAAACTCATTGACCAAATTGGCTTACAACACTCTATCACAGCGCACCTCATAAACTTCAACTTCAACTCATCATCATCATCCATCAACTTCACACCAAAAACCCAAATTTTAGAACTCGAAAACGAGTACATTGCAAAGAAATTAACCGACCCAACAAGCTTAAAAGACACCCCATGTTTAACATCCAACAAAACTCCCAACTTGTGATCAAAACAAACACCCTTTTGCGAGCAAAAGACTTGAGCTTTCCCATAAAGATTGTTCTTTTGAAGAACATAGAACCGAAGCAGCACCTGAGCCCCACTTTTATGAGGACCTCCCACAATGAAAACAACTCTAGGGTTAGGGTTAGGATTCAAGAGAAGAAAAGTTGAGGAAGAAGAGGGAGGAGAGATGAGGAATTGAGGGGTTGAAGGGAGAGAAGAAAGGGAGGGAATTGAAAGAGAAGGGTAAAGAGAGATGGAGGAATCAGAGTGCATGAGGGCTAAAGAGAGAGAATTTGGTTCATATAAAAGAGAGGTGATGTGGGGAGGAGATGAAGGAAGAGAAGGGTTTGGGAGAGGGAGGCTTGAGGCCTGAGAAACCACAACCATTAGAGACAAGAACAACAACAACAAAAAAAAAAAGAGTTGAGATAATTGTAAGAAAAAACCATTCGGTTTCAGTTAGGAAGGTAGAAGGAGAAAGAGTTGCCGTTTGGTCTTTGTCGGTTTTGTGTGATTTAACTCCATGTAAAAAGACTTTTTAAGTTTTGTATTTTGATCATCAAAGTCAACCAGGCAGATCCAGGCTTCCAAAAATTTATAAGAAATAAAGATGAAAATTAAATATTTAATTTTAAAAAATTAACACAATACCCAAATTTTGTAATCTGATGAATTTAAATTTATTTTATTTTATTTTAAGAAATTTCTAGAATTAATATTGAGCTGTTCCATACGTTTAATGATAACACGTGCTTTCTAAGAAAGGTTTTCTAATTTTTTACTTTTAATAAAATTGAAAGAGTGTGAGTTTCCTTATATTAAAAGGAAAAATAATATTCAAAAGTAGTAATTTTACTTGAACATGCAACACCCCGTTTCTTTAAAACAACCTCGAGTAATTCAACAGGAACTCTTGTGTGTAAAACTTAAAGAGATTTTGAGTCGTGTCTTTTTTCAAATGTTAATAGGTATAGTTACTGAAACTCCACTAATAGTTTTAAGATCTCAAAATAATAATTGAAGTACCAGCAGTTTGACAGACACCCTTTTATTAAAAAAAAAAATCCATTCACAATGGAATTTTTGATTTTCAATTTTGTTTTAAATTTGTTTTCAATTTTTGATATAAAGTAATTATTCCTTCACCATTCAACCCACAATCCAGATGTGTACTATTAATACATTCTTATCGAGCAACCTCTACAAATATTGCCCAATATCTGTCTTAAAACACCCATCCACAATTCCATTTAATTACTGAAATTAGCAACGGTTGCACCCGGAGCACAAGCCTTCGCGGCCGGGCTGGCCTGAACTTTAGGGTTGGGTTCCACAGGCGTCCCCAAGAGCTCTTCCGGCAACTCTTTAATCCCCTTCAAATAAAACGTATAAAAGATCTTGAAAGGGAACACAATCTGGTGCAGTTTAACCTGCCCATACACTCCCTCAAAGATCCCTGATCCACCAGTCACAGCCAGATACGTGTCCTCGTAGGTCAAATACGGTCCCTGCACCGCTATGTGACCGTAGTCGCCGAAGTGAAAGCTATATATAGCTTCGTATCTGTCACCTTTCTTCTCCGGTTTGTGTTGGATCAATATGCAGATTCCAGCTGTTATTCCCAGCCGTTTTTTCAAATCTCCGGAATATAACTGCAATTAGAAAAATGAAGAAAATTTATTACTTGATGATGTGTTATTGGTAAATTGAAAGGTTGAAGATGGAGGAGTGGATTTAAATTTACTTTGTTGGTAAAGGGGACAAGATCACCAAGAGAATTGACCCAGAATTTCTTGCTTAAACGAAGGTACTTTGGGCTGCCACGATCGAGCTCGTTGAGTTCATATACACACAGTTCTTGAACTTTGGCTACAAGAAGGAAATTAAACACAGTAATGTTATTAATTACATGCAAGATTAATATAAATAAAGAAATGATCTACAACTTGTGGGTATTGAAAAAGTGAATGAAAATACTAACAGGGTCTGTGATCATGATCATCATCATCATCAGATTGGTGATCATGAGCTTGGCCTCTGCAAGTGAATGATCTTTTAGGTACTGTTAGACTGTTGTAGCGTGTGGTGTTATGGAGATTGAAGCTTTCAGGTGTGAAACAGAGGGATTGGTTATTAGTGAGCTTGAGTGGTACTAAAAGGGAAGTACTCTTTGGTGAAGGATTGATGGATTTTACAGGAGAAGCAGAAGAGATGATTCTGAAAGGAGCAGTGGTTGAACAAGCCATTGGTGGGGAGAATGAGAAAGTGTTTGGATTGGTGATGAGAAAGTGAAGGAAAGTGGGGTGCTTTATACTTTATATAGAGGAAAAAGGTGGTGATGAATTGTAATGGGGTATACTTTTGGGTTTTGCGTGTAGGGAAGGATGGTGCCATCAGTTGACTCTGGTCAAATGCGTGCGTGGATTATTGTATGACTCCAAGGGAATATTCAACGACTCTCCAGTTTTTGCACGTGTTTTTGGACGGTAAACGTGTTTTTTATGTTTATATTATATATAAGCTTACCAACTAAAACGTGTTATAGTTAATATTACACCACAATCTCTTCTTATAATTTTAATGTGATAGTTTATAATTAGTTAGTTATAATTTATTAGATAAGATTTATTATAAATTGATTAATTACGAAATGTTACGATATAATTATAAGAGAAAGTTTATGAAAAAACATCGTGGATATAGTATTTTTTATTTTACACATATTTTCGTAACTGCACTTTTATAATTTTTAATTATTGGGCTTTCGTTCCAATTATTGGACCAGTCCATGACTCTACAAGCCTGTAGCTACTTTTTTTTTTTAATTTAATTAATTCACATTAAATATAATTAATTTAAGTCTTTTTTTTTTCAAAGTTATAAATTAATATTGCGTATTAAACGTTTAATTAGTTATTTAAATTTACCAATTCTAAAATTCGTCACACTTGTTAATTATTTAAATTTATAGCTCTCGTCAATCAAGAGTTTAAATTTATGTCTTTAGTGGAGGTAATGTAATAGAGAAATAGTTTAATTTATATCTACGTTCATGTTTTACTTGACAGGATTCATCGGAAATGAACCATTAAAAAATTTTATTAATAACTTATTAATGTTTGTTTATAGTATAACAAACATATTTATACTAAATTAATCCTAATACTACACGAATAAGAAATCATAATGAAATAAGAAAATCCTACTATTATTATAAAATAAAATAAAAACTAAACATAATTAAAATAAATCTTCATAATTAACTAAAATATCAAATAAATAAACTTCCAAATGTAAAATTATAATTATAAAATCAATTAAAAAAGATATAATTGAATACTTAATTTAGAAAATTTGTCATACATCACTTATCTTCTAATTTCTAGAAAAAATAAAGTAAAACAGTTTTATTACTTAATAAATATGTTAACTACTTCTGGGTGATCAAGTGGTTTTATAAAGACTCTTGGATGTATTACTTAAGAGGTCTTGAGTTCGAATCCCTCTTCACTTACTAATAGGGATAGATACTTAAGCTCTTACTAGACCGGTAGTTTCAGAACCCTAGGAGATTAGTTGTGATGCGGGTAAACTAACCCAGACACCAATGTCATAGAAAAATATGGGTGCGTTTGTTTCCCTTTTTTTGCCCTATCTTATTCCTATCATTTCCAAAATACACATTTGTTTTCATATTCTAAAAATACTATTATATTTTATTCAATTATTTTTGAACCCCCTAAGTTTGTTCATTTAACTAAACACCCTCCAAAAAAGTTTAGAAATTGACAAAAACACCCCCACCCACACACATTTGCCAGATTATAGCCAGCACCGTCGAACGGTGGCCAAAATCTGGTATAATGGCGCACTACTGGCTGGATTTGGCCAGTAGTGCGCCGATCTAGCCTTTTCTGCCCAGATTCACCATGGATCTAGTCAGAAAGGGTCAAATCTGTGGCCAAAGATCTGGCCATTGACGATCAGATTTTTGATCGTAGCTAGTCGTCAATGACGGCCAAGATTTGGCTGTTGTTGATGACCAAACGCAGTCAGTTATGGCCGGATCTGGCCAAAAAAGGCTAGATCTACAGTTAGATCCACGGTGGATCTAGCAAAAAAAAGTCATATCGACGTACGACCGACCAGATCCAACCGGTCTTGCTCCGATACGGCAACTCTAGCCATCCTCCGACGGTGGTGGCCAGTTGCCGGCATTTAATGGGTGGGTAGGGATGTTTTTGTTTATTTTTAATGTTTTATTACAGCGGTGTTTAGTAAATTAACAAACATATGAAATTTTTTTGTTAATTTTTCAATTCTACCTTCTAATAATCACCAAACTCTCACTTTTAAAAAAATACTATCTAAAATACTAAATCAAACGTTAGAAGCATTATATATATATAGAGATTATATATATATATTATTATATTAACAACACTACATGTCGCTTTCGTTTTACTGGGTAAAAACAGTAGGCAGTACACTGTACATGAACAGCTTGTAAATTTCTTGAAATGTTAAAAGATTGGGGAGCCCTTGGGATGATTTGAAGTAAGATTTAAGACTTTGCTTAAACAAAAGCGGAAAGTGGGGAAACATCCACGTTGCTGACGAGTTTGATCAGAAAAGGTATTCATGAACGAAGAAGATGTAGAATCCCACTCCGGGTCTTTCTTCTTGGTGTTGATGGGGTAAGAAATTAAATAAAAGTCTCAGCCATTTGAACACGAACATGCAGTTTGAGTGTGCAAGAGTAGAAAGTGGTGGAATTGAAGTGGGTGTCTCTGAGAGTTGGGGACCCATTGATTGAATAATTCAGCTGAGGATTGTGACAGTCAAAATCACAGGAATGGTTCAGTTTCAGTGCTTGTTTATAACAGGCACGGCATGATATATTCCAGTAGCTCCTTCCTCAATTGATGATGGACTCATTATTGACAAACTATTCCACAACCACTAAACTCTCAATGAAATTTTAGTATTGTTTTGCATTGATATCATGCCCACATTATTAACGAAAATTCAACAATCCCATGTGATCTCCCTCTGCCTTAACCAAGTGTCAATTTGCTTTATGATTTTCCCAGTAGCCACGTATGATAACTATGGATTTGGATTTGGGTTTATAATTATGGGTAGGGTAGCATCATTTAATAGGCTAATCTTTTGGTAGTTAGCAACCGTCCAATTTCACGGCAAGGTAGTCTGAAAATCTTCTTTTTTATCTGAAAGTCGAGAATATGAACCGTCCGACTTACTACAAGGTAGCATGAAAACCTTCTTTTTTACCTAAAATGTGAGAACATGAACCGTCTTATGGAGTTGACTCAGAGATTATCTTCTAGGTAATTGACCTAAAATGTGAGAACATAAACCATCTTATGGAGCTGACTCAGAAATTACCTTTCAGGTAATTGACAAACGTTCGACTCATGTCAAAACAGTGCGAGAATGTAATTGGGCCGAGAGAGGCCCAACCAAACCACAAACAAAAACAATCGTCCTCTTCCAGCAGATCCGATAATTGCGTTGATTAGTCTTCTGTCCATTACCTGTTCTTTTTCATACCCACGCTCCCCAATGGGTAGCATACAATACACTCACTTGTAAACGGCTTAAAAAATAAAAAAAATAAAAATATATAAAATAAAAGTGAAAACTTACAAACAAGATCTTCTCAAATCCCAACAAGGAAGAAGTTGAATATTTCCCCTTCTATCTGTTTGTTTTTTTCCCCCAGAGAGTGAAACAACAAGCTAAATGGAAAACTAGCTTAGAAAACCCAGTATTCGAGGCAAACAAAATTTCCTAATCATTGTACACTTACTGTATTCCTCTATACAAAAGAGAAAATTAAATTAAAAATAAATAAATAAAAACCCATTTGGTTTTATTTATTTAAATTAAAAATATCTCTTGACAAAAGCGCACACATTGATATGCAGACTTACGTTTAATAGCAGGCTGAATACGTTTTTATGGCAGATTGGCATCTTTCTTATTTATAAATTTTCAGATTATCACAAGCCAAACTAGCTCAGCTCTGCTAGCATCGTCTTAGTCTGAGAAAGTACGTACAATTTTGCTGCATTTTTTTTTTTTTTTTTTTTGTTTATATATATTTGGTGTTTTGACACAGTGTCCAGTCATGTCCACCCCACAATTTCTGACTCATTTCTGCCCCCACCACCACCAATGCAACTCACCTCACCTTCTTCCTTCTTTCTCTCTGCTCTCTCTGCCATCTTCTTCACACCAAACAATGACCATTACAATCAAAATCAAAATCAAATTGAAATACCCTTTTCACGCTCTCTCTTTTTCTCACTCTTTCTCTTACCTGATAAACTCAAACCAAAAAAAAAAAATTTACCAAAGAAAATCTCTCATTCAATGCTCTAAAGTCTTATCGCACCACCGTTTTAGTTTCACCATTGACCATTCCTTAGTACCCAATAATGGTTGCTGAATATGCCCACCAAATTTTGTTAAACATTCAATAGTAGATTAGATAACCACCTTTAATTGTTGCGGTGTTAAGGTTTGATGTTGTTGGGGTTTAATATTTATTACATATTAAATTATTAATAAAGGTTCTTTTTTATTTCAGTGAACGTCTGTACCTCAGACGTGAAATGAAGCGCGTGGAGTAACCATATCCCATGCCCATCCGTGTAATGAAATGACCTCAAGTGGGGGAAGGGATCTCTTCTAGCTGTAGCCTGTAGCTTGCCCCTCATCAAAACTTTAAAGCTAGCTATAGCCCACAGCAAATCCGTTCGAGAAATCTCTCTCACAGTTCTCACACACTCGAGCCTTTATTTTATCTCAATGATATAATAAAACGATTTATCAACAGAAAAGATGGATCAGTAGGGATCCCAAAAACCCACAAGGAAATGATAATGATGAAATGAAGGAGAGGCAACGTTGGCAACCAGAAGAAGACGCCATCTTGAGAGCATACGTGAAGCAATATGGCCCTAAAGAATGGAACCTCATTTCTCAGCGCATGCCAAAACCTCTCAATCGAGACCCCAAGTCCTGTCTCGAACGCTGGAAAAACTACCTCAAACCCGGCATCAAAAAGGGTTCTTTAACCCCGGAAGAACAATCTTTAGTCATTTCTTTACAGGCCAAGTACGGCAACAAGTGGAAAAAGATTGCCAGTGAAGTCCCCGGAAGAACCGCGAAAAGACTCGGCAAGTGGTGGGAAGTTTTTAAGGAGAAACAGTTGAAACAATTGCATAAGCAAAGAAGAGAGTATTCGGATCAAGAAGGGAATGTTATTCAAGTCACTTCGGCGTCGGTTTCTTCGCCGGAAAAGGTTGCTCAGGGGAGGTACGATCATATTTTAGAGACTTTTGCGGAGAAGTACGTTCAACCGAAGCTTTTTGCATTGCAGTCTTTGAATAATCTGAGCCCTACTAGTATTATTATGCCTAATATGTCATTGCCGGATCCTGAACCGGTTCTTTCACTTGGGTCGGGTCCTTCAACTTCTTCCGCAAATGTGCTTCCCTTGTGGATGAATAATCACAATACTTGTTCATCTTTGTCATCTTCAACTTCTTCCACAACCACAGCTTCTCCTTCTGTGAGTTTATCTCTCTCGCCGTCTGAACCTCCTGCTCTTGATCCGGTTGACATGACCCGGTTCATGCCGGGTCAACAAGTGGGCACTTTGATACAGTGCTGTAAGGAGCTTGAAGAGGGTAAACAAAGCTGGCTGCAACACAAGAAGGAAGCGACATGGAGACTAAGTAGATTGGAGCAGCAACTGGAGTCAGAGAAAGCGAGGAAGAGAAGAGAAAAAATGGAGGAAGTTGAGGCAAAAATTAGATCTTTAAGAGAAGAAGAAATGGCGTTTCTGGGTAGACTTGAGAGTGAATATAGAGAACAGTTGACTAGTTTGCAGAGAGATGCCGAGAGCAAAGAGGAAAAGTTAATGGAAGCTTGGTGTAATAAACATGTTAAACTGATGAAGCTCATTGAGCAGATTGGGGTTCACAGTGGCCATGGAAACGGATTCTGTATCCCAAAGGATTTGCTGTAGTTAGCCATAGCTATAACTATGAAATATTATGACGAGTAATGCATTTTGAATCAGCTTTTGGGCAAGGGTTTTATGTAACAAAATGATCCATGAATCTACAAACTAGTACTAGTGTTTGTTTTGTTTTTCATCTTTTACTAATAATCGTCTTCATTTCACCATTAATGAACCTTTGTTGTGAACTTGCGATATATTTGCATAGATTAACGTTAGATAAGCTGCGTATTATCATACATAAGTGAAGTTAAAAACTTGAAACCCAGTGTGGCATTGAGTGATGATTTATGGGGTTTTGATGAGAAAGGGAAATGATTTGTTAACCAAATGGGCAGAGTGAAATGAGGTTGGGTTCAATTAGTAGATTAAAGACAGATTGGTGTGTAGTGTCAAATCGTTGTTTACATAAATGTTAGGGAAAGAAGAGGTTGATTTGATAAATGCTTGAAAGACATTAATGGAGAGTTGGTTTAAAAAAGGAAAAATTAAAATGAAAAGAATAGATAAAAAGAAAGGGTAGAGAGGGGGAGTAGCTGTAGCACAGAAAGAGGTAAAGATGCTACGCAAAGGCAATTGCAAGGCTACGTCTACTGAAAATGACTAATCACTGGACATTGGGATAGCCACCCAACCCCCACCTCTTTCACACTTTCACTTCCTACGCGCGTTTCTTACCTCTCTCTTCCTCTCATAGCACAATCCAATGGTTGATATTTTTGTCACTTATTCTACTCTTAATCAATTAAATTAAGGGTAATGTTAGTGTACGAACTTAAAGTATAGTATGGATACTATATACATAATACAGGTATTATATATGATTTTAACAAAGGTTAGTACACTGATTAATAAAATTCGTTAGTACGCAAAGTATTATTCTTAAATTAACAAGAGCAAACGACATGTTCCTACCTAAGGTTTACCGCAATCCCAAAATTATACCCCTAGTTATATTTATTCTAGATTCTCGTCAGGAGAGTTTGCCGACAACCGAAAATAAACATAATAGCAACACAATCGCAAACAACACTTCAAAAACAACGAACTCCATCAATCAAAAACCAAAACCCAACCAAAAGAGGATGAGAGGGCTACAAAACCGTGACTATCTCACAATGAAAAGTGCAGGTTGCCGACAGCTTAGCAAATGATGAGTGGGGAGGGTCTAGAGGAGGGATGGGTTTTGAAGAGGAAAGGAAGGAGAGTCAAAAGATGCATACAAGGTTGATTTTCGGTGTGAGAATTGATCGGAAAATCTGAAAGTCACGACAGCAAGTGCATACCGCGAGTAGCAAACGGTGAGTGCGGAGGGTCAAAGAAGGGATGAGTTTTGAAGAGGAGAGGAAGGGGAGTTGAACGGTGCAGATAGGGGTGATTTTCAAGTAATGCTACACTTACGTCACTCTTTTACACAATTTTTATTACATCATGATGTGACATATGTCACAACCATATAAATTTTTAATTATTTTAAATTTTTTAATATTGTAATAGAATTTGTGTGGTTGTAACATATACCACATGTAATAAAAATGATGTAAAAAAGTGGTGTAAGTGTAGCATTACTCATGATTTTCGGTGTGAGAATCGGCCAGGATTTGGCTTAAGAGGCTGCGGCAACACATGGGGGCGGAAACCAAGAAGATGAAGGTTTTTACTTTAAGGGTAGTTCGGTAATTGTAGCCTCTACACCTGTGTCATAACCCAACCGTAGGTAATGGTGCTACTTTAAGGGTAGGAATTTAAAATAAACGAAACCAGAGGGTATCAACTTGCCATTTCGTTGAACCTCGGGTGGGAACATGTCGTTTACTGAATTAACAATAATATTATACCTAAGAAATTGGGATCCCAAAATTGTATAGCAACTTGGTAAATCAATTGCCACATGATTAGGACACAAATCTGAAATCCAAACTTTTTATATACAACATTATTCTTAAATTAAATATAATTACACATTAACCAAATACTAATATAAGGAGATAAATTGTTATATATCTTGATAATTCATGATGTACAACATATTTTTTATATAAATTTTAGCGATAAATAAGGCGGAATCTTAATGTAGTAATATTAAATGTCAATAGTACATGTTAACATTTTCCAATATATGAGATCGGAATCAAAAAAATGTAATAATAAATAAGAGAATTTGATATTCCTTTTTCAGGAATATCTAGAGGTTTGGACTTAAAGAGCAGGTACTTAATTTATGAGGGGTCATTTTAATAATTAATTAATTAATTAAGAAAAGTTTAGGCAAACCAATAAAGAGTGTATTTTATTGAAAAACTCAAAGAGAAGAGAACTCTCAACACAATGTAATAAAGCTGACAACAAATCTCTGTTAAAACAGACAACAAACATTCAACTCTCCCTTACTTGTTCTACTAACCAAATTACAGCTGTAAATTTGATTTCTAACAACATCCAATGCCCTAGAAATTAAATTAAACATTAAACAATTTTTTAGTAATATCATTCAAACACAATCTAACATTTCAATTTTCATCCCCAACGGCCAACACAACCCTATAAAAATTAACTAAAACCCAGAGTTTTCGTCAAATCCTATAATTTTTAATAAATTTAAAAATAGTTAACAACTTTTTCTGATCCAAATAATGGTTTAATGACATTTTTTCATCTATAAATTTTTAAAATACTACTTTACTATCTAAATTTATATTCTAACGGCGAACAGAGAACAAAATTGGTTCAAGCTGTTGAGGCTTTTGAAGAAGAGAAGCCGATGAGTCTTTTGTTGGTGAAATATTAGATTTTAATGGTTGGGATTGACCAGAATTTGACTTGGGAGGAACGACTGCGTAAACCCTAATCGTTTGATTGCTGACGATTAGTAGGGTCAGAGAGAGTAGGGTTTAAGAGGTTTTTGTGAGTGATGATCGGAGAGGAGAATGGTAGTGGTGTGGGGTTGTAACAATACTGGAATCAGAAACGAAATATAAATTGAGTAGTAAAATGATATTTTAAAAGTCTACGAATAAGAAAGTGTTATTAAACCATTATCTATGTGGGAAAAAGTGGTTTACTGACTCATTTAAGAATAACGATCTTTGATAGATTCAAAATTAATCCCTCGTGGGTAGTTCCCATTCTACTCAATGAAAGCAATTTTTTAGTCAAATCCACATTGTTATTGATTAATTTTTTGTAAATTGTGAGATTTATTTAACAATAGAATCCAATGACAAGTGCTAAATTGAAGGCTAGGTTGAAATCTTCTGAGATAATGTTGTACAAGTTGTACTACTCACTGCATATGAACATGACATAAGTTAAAGGAAATACAAGTTTTCCTGTTAATTGGAATCTTTGACAATTGTGGGCACACAAGAAAATGGCTTTGTAAATGCAGGCTTAGTGGGCATAGGCATAGCCAATTTACCCATAACCAGAGGGACCTGCCTATATATCTTATCTTAATTAGAGTAAACTACATGTACCCACTCAGGGTTTGGTGAATCGACAAGTTTTCACCCATGGTTTTATAAATTCTAGATTCGCACTCTTAAATTAACACTGTTAATCTGTTTTGGTGATTTTTTGGGTTCTGACACAGTATTAAGAGTGTTGTTACAAATATCCAAACTTAAGCCACTCTTTGTATATCCAAAATTCTGTCTCTTTTCTCACCTTGTAATTTAACTTCTAATATTACCTATTATTTGCAACGTAATCTCTATTTGGTTCATCTAAAATGTTGACACCAAATAACCTAACCTCACCCATTGTTTCAACTGGTCCAACCGCCTCCTGTTCCTCGCCCTTGGTCTCCATCTGATCTTCAGAACCCGACCCGTTTCTGGGCTTACTGTCCATAAAAAGCCTTGGATTCGGCCCAACATTGGATCTCCAAAAGCACACCAAATCTCCTGCCTTCAAGTTTTTCTCCTTCACAAATCTCCTCCACCCTTTTGTCAACACATAACTCTGACTACTACTCCAATAACAATATCTCAATCTCCATACTTTCTTTGAATTATCCTCAAAATTCATCAACACACCCTTCGAAGCAATCTCTGTGTACAATGGAAAGTGCTTTTCAGCTTGTTGTTTCGGTATCACCATTCTGTTCAGCTTCCCCACATCGCTCGGTGTCACCACTTTCTCAAACAACAACTCCCGGCTCTCCCCGAACGGCTCTTGGTTGAACGCGTTACCGCTAATTCCATGACATGCATAGTTCTGCTTGCGCTCTTCGAGCTCGGCCTTGTACGTATGCTTCCTCAACATGTCGACGATCTCCGCCTTCGAATGCGAGCTCAAGAAAAGCTTTTCCATGTAATAATCTTCGTCGTTCTCGAAAGAAACGTTGAAGTTTGTTATTGCATTGTGGCCGCGGAACCTCAGAGCTGCGATATCATAAACCCTAGCGGCTTCTTCTTCTTCGGTGAAAGTACCTAACCATACGCGTCGATGCTTCTCGTATATTTGCACTCCCCATCTTCCATTGGGTTGCGGAACGACTCCTTTGTACTTGGAAGAAGGCAACTTTTTGGATTCAACCTCATTGCCATATTCAGAATCATCCATGTTTCTTCAAGAGGGTGATAATGAAATGAAATATAAAGTAAAAGTTTGGTTGAATAATTTGATGAGGTGAAAATAGATTTATATAGCTGAATATTAAGAATGAGAAAGTGGGGTAGGTAATTGATGGGAATCACATGAGGGTAAGCAGAAGTTGTTCGCTAAATTCATCCCCCCATGAAAGGCTATATGCTTGAGAACACTGATTTGATCCTCTGGCCAGCCATGGCCTTTCCCATGCTGTTGATTCAGCCATCTCATCTCATATCTCTTTATTGCATCGCTTTATTCAATCTTATCTTATATTATTTTTATAATAAAGTCTTCATCAATGTGGATTTCTGTTATATTATATATAAAAATATTGCCAAGTGTGTGGAAAAAGGAGAGAAGAGATTGGTTGAAATTTCCAAGAACATAGAAGTTCCACTTGGCAAAATGTCATTGTGGGAGTTTCTGACAGAAGGGGATTGTCTTATTATCCAGGTTCAAATTCTTCAAATATATTGGGTTTAATGATCAAATCAGAAATTGCATAATCTAAAGAGGGTTTCTTTGTGTGTTCATGCACTTGGAATAGCCAAAAATAAAATTCATGCACTTGGAACAGCCAAAAATAAAATAATATATATTCCAATTTCCACATCTCTATGTAATGATATTATTTTGTGTAAATAAATGCAACTTGTCGTGGTCCCGCGGCGCCCCCCGCCCCAAAAAAACACACATATTTGGTGGTCGAGAGTGTTTGGGCTAGTTTGTTCGCTCCTTAATTAATCTTTTAAGACCCTAAAATTGATAATTGGATAAATTTCAGTAACCAATTCTATTAACAATTCAAGTAGATCGAATTCATGACCTCTTGATTAATACACCTAAAGTCATGATTAATTATTAGGTCACCTCAGTGGCGGTTACCGTACCTTGACATTGATATAGCAAAAGGGGAACAAAAATGTTGGAATTTGAATGATTTGCTACTCTAATTCTAAAACCAACCACCAAAACCTAGCTCCACACTTTTATAAGAGAATCTTGAGGTTTTTGATAATATTGAAAAGGTATATAATACTTTTCAATTAAGTCATATCCTGGCGGGTGGGGCACTTACTGAAGAAATAAGCCACGTGCCCCTTCACCTTTTTTTTTTTTTTTTTTAACTAGGATTTTTTGACCAATTTTTACGTACTTTAATTAATCTTCGATATTTATAAAACATCTTATAAGACCAGTTTATACGCGCCTTAAATAATTTTCAGGGTTTATTGAATATCTTATAAACCTAAAAGATCAATAAATTACAAAGTGATAGGTAATGCTAAGATTCGAACTTAAGACTAAACCTATTTAACCGTTAGGCCAACCCCTTGGGTTTGCCCCCTTCGCTTTTAATTGTTAGCATATATTTTTATATTTTAGTATCGTATTGGAGATGAGGAGATACATTTTGCTTGCTTTTTATCTTATTTTTTATATATAAAATATTTGTTTTTAACTACCCACTTGTGGTTGGATAGTGAGGGGAGTCAAATGTGTTAAGTTAAAGACAAAGGGTCTTGAGTTCGAGTATTTTGAGTAATATTTTTGAAAAAAGTTTGTTATTAACTTATTATAGGAATAAGATTTGAAAATTAACAAAAACACCTCATATATTTGTTAATTTAGCTAAACACTTTTTACAATAAAATATTGAAAATAACAAAAACACTCCCACGTACCCATTAAATGCCGGCAGTTAGCCACCATCGCCAGAAGGTGGCCAAAAGTCTTCGGAATGGCACATGATCAGCTGGATTTTACTGGTTGTGCGACCATATCTACGACCAAAGATCTAGCCGAAAAAAGGCTAGATCGACACACGAACGGCTAGATCCAACCGGTCGTAAACCATTCTGGTAGATTCCAGCCACCTTCCAGCGATGGTGGCTGGCTAGTGGGAATATGTGGGTGGGTAGGGTGTTTTTGTCAATTTATAAACTTTTATTGTTAGGGAGTGTTTAGTTAAATTAACAAACCTGGGAGGTTAAAAATAAACATTTTTAGTTGAATAAAATAGAATTGAATTTTGTGAATATTAAAACAAATATGTATTTGGGTAAGATAGGAATATAATAGGAAAAGAATAGTAAAACAAGCACAGCCAAAGTTTTTATATGGTAATCAATAAATTTCTCCAATTTGTTTTAATCAGAAGCTATGATTTGACCCATAAATCTATTCAACCCCAAAAATTATAATATGGGTAAATGATATAAACTTGATTCAAGCAAAATCTATGAATAAAGAGGAAATGATAATTGCCCCATGAAGCTGCACCATGAGGCTTGATGTTGTTCACCCAATGCCCATATGTTTTATATTCTTGATATATAATTATGTAAGAGGCCTTAGAAGAATTGGTGGATCTAAAAGTTTAGTTTTATATTGGGCCAGTTGGGCCTTTATTGGGCTTTATAACTTCTGAAATGAGCCTTCATGAAAAAATAAATATGAATTGGTCCTCCTCTCTTTATTTTGATTTAAGTTGGATTGTGAATTTGTGTTTAATAAATGATGAAAAAAAAAAAATAGCCTTATTAAACTTATACAACTCTTTTTTATCATTTTCATTTAAAAATTACTGTAAAATGTCATATTAACTAACATTCTGAGACTTTAGGTTGACAATGACCAGATCCACTTCAGTGACTATCCCTATTAAGGTCTGTGAGGACTCGAACTCAAAAACTTATAGATCTTGTTTTTACTCTTTTACCATCAGATTATCAATAATGATTACTTATATGATATTTTGATAAAATAATATTAGAGAAGATAATACGTCAAAAAGAATAAAAAAGGAGATTTAGAGTGGAAATGAAGAGAAAAATATGGGATCAAATTGTTAATTACACTTAATTAAGGTATCCTCAACATCCAGATACACAGAATGCCAGCTATCAAAGATTTAGTGCAATCTCATGCTGAACTAAATTATATAAATATTAATCGTAATTGAGGTTATCTAATTCCAATACCAAACCCAATTTGCAACCTATTCGTTGAACCGTACATTTAGACCCTCCGTAATCTTTTGAATAACCAGACAAGATACTCCCTCATTCACATTAAAAAAAAAAAAAAATCCCATAATATTTAAAGGATTTAATTAATGTAATAATAAAAAATTAATTAATTCAACTCGACAGAAGGAAGCATTAACAAAAATCTAGGTTAGGAAAGGCAGGGACAGGGACCATGTCCCTCACGGGATTATCACGTGCCGCCCAGTTCTTCTTTGTACTGTACAGCTCTGTAATTTTCTATGACGTCCAAAGAGACAAAAACTGGAGCCCATTTTATCGTGTCTCCTTGTAATAAAATCCTTCTTCAGCTTTTTCTTCTTCTTTTTGTTAAAAAATTGTTTACTGATTGGTTAGACCCTACCTAGCATGACTGATCGTCATAACTGGAATAATATTTTATAGAAAAGCCAGTCTAGATGGTTTAGACTCAAATCCTTCCATTAGATTTGGTTAAGATTTTTTTTTTTTCATAGATATTTTTAAAATTTAGAGTTGTTGTTGCGTAATTGGATAACATTATCTTCTAATAAAAAAGATATATGAACGGGTTTATCGGGAGGTTTATTAAATTTTAACTATTATTGTTCAGTCATAGGTTTAAAGGCCTACGATGGATGCTAAGGTCATGTTGCAATAAGTTAAAAAGTATAAAAAGACCTTGAGGATGATATAGTTGTGTAGCATGGGTTGAATATAAATATAGGGGAAGTTTATAACAACGCTAGGACTACAATTTTTTTTTTTTATGATCGGGGTGTTCGAACAACTCACAAACATCTTAACTATCATTCGAGACCCTAGAACGATCGTCGATAAGAGTTCTAGTGACTACCCTTATTAGCAACCGAGAAGAGAATTGAACCATGACTATTACTCAAGAGGTAATTAGATAGCATTATCTTCTAACAAATAAGATATACGGACAGGTTTATCGAAGGTAATGAAAATTTATACTACTACTGTTCAGTTCGTACTAGGTTTAAAGGCCTACAATGACTCTAATTCATTTTGCAATAAGTTAAAAAGCATAAAAAGACCTACGATGATGATATAGTCGTGTAGCAATGGGTTGAATATAAATATAAAGGGAAAGTCTATACAATGCTAAACTGCATTTTTTTTTTTTTTAATGATCGAGGTTTGTCAACTAGCTCACGAGCACCTTAACTAATCCCTGGAATCCTAGAACTATCGGTCGGGTAAGAACTACTCCAGTGACTTCTCTATTAGCAACGAGAAGAGAATCGAACTCAAAACCTCTTAGTATGACTCAAGACCATGACACTTGACCATCCAAAAGCTACGCTAAGACCGATTGCAGTAGACTAAAAAAACTATCTTGATCACAATATATTTTGTTTGGAAAAAGATAACGCACCTCTCTAACAAATGTTGTATTTCGTTAGGAGATGTGTTTATTCCAATATTTGCATCGGAATTTTTCCCATTGTGATTTGATATTGGAAAATTGTCTAAAGATCATAATTTATAGTTTTGCCCTGTAGACGAAGGATGTATGTTTCTCCGAAAGTGTAGATTTAATTAACCATTGTCAAATAAAGGAGGAGAATTCTGAGTATAATTACAAGCTCCAGAGTTGACTGCAAATTATACTTGAGTCCAAAAGTGAAGTTAAGAAATAAGATGAAGATGGGGTCTGGTCCAGGTGCAAGCCCCAGAGAGTTTCCCGACGTGAAAAGTGGAATGGGGTAAGCACAAACAAAACATGTGGATTACGCTGTGATAATCTCATTTCCCATTTCCCATTTCATTTTTTGTTGTTTAACAAGTCACTCAGATTCTACTTGCAATTTTTGACTTTTGAGCCTTTCTAATAAACTATCCCTTTGTCTCCTCTTTGTCTTCTTCGTTTTATGCTATCGAGGACGGACTACTTCTGCTTGTTAACATTTCAAGTTATTAGCTGTACTAAGTTAACTTAGCTTATACCAATTCTCCATTTACTTTCTTCATTATCAATTTCATGCACGAACTCAG